CTATTCAGCATTTTTCTTGTGTAAACCACGTGGCGAATTTTGATGATTAGCTATAAGTTTGCTAGGAATTCTTTGCTATAAAGTAGTCGTTTGGTGTGGAAAAGGTAATATATCCATTTTTATTACATAAATAATAAAAAGTAAGCAGTTTAACTGCAAATTATATTTTACTAAGTGTTTTTGTAATTGTAAAAAAGTTATCTGATAATGAGCGACTCTGACGATGACAATTTTGAATATGCCAATTTATCAGACAATTTCAGCGATGAGAGTGATGATTTCTTGAGTGATGGAAGTGAATCGGAAGATAATGACAACGAGATTTTGGATATAGCAAGGAAATTGGTATCAAATTAGTATAAATCAATCCAAACGTTGCACCACCGAGATTTCGATTTGAAGCTAACCCTGGCTGTTGTTTTACTCTTGACGGATTGCTACGATGATGCTTTGTCATACTTTGAATTATTTTTTGATAACTCTCTCATGGACATAATTCTAAACTGAAACAAACAGAAATATGCATTTCAACATCCAGGATCATCACAGAACCTATGGTCACCGATTACTATGGAAGAATTATACATATTTTTAGCCATAACTATACTACAAGGTATAATTAGAAAGCCTGAGATAAGGATGTATTGGTCAAAAGTTGAAATTTTTCAATCACCTATTTTTCCGAAGCTCCTTAGCTTTCGTCGCTATTCTGAGATAAAAAGATATCTTCACTTCTCTAACAATGAAACTTACGATGCTGAGATTCACCCCCATCCCAAGCTCAATAAGATATGGCCTGTATTTGACCATATAAATAAAAAGTGTTCTTCTCTATATACACCGGAAAGAGATATCACATAGATAGACGAAAAGTCTACTACTGTATAAAGGGCGAATGAAATGGAAGCAATATATACCACTGAAACGAGCTCGTTTCGGAATAAAGATGTACCTTCTTTGTGAAAATCAAAAACCGGTTACTTATATTCATCCATTATATATACCGGAAAAGGAACGAATATGAGCGATGCATATCGAGAAATGCCGGTATCAACTCAAGTATGTTTGTCACTGATTGAACCATTATTAGATAAAGGGTACTGTTTGACGACTGACAAACTTTTATACTTCTCCACAATTAGCGGATTTCCTAGGTAAAACATCAAACAGATACCTACGGGACTCTGAAAAGTACCAGAAAAGAAGTTCCATCTGAAATTAGAAATAAAAAATTGAAAAAGGGAGATGTTATAGCGTTTCAGAGAGGGAAAGTAATGGTGATGAAGTGGAAAGACAAAAAAGATGTCTGTTTGCTTTCAACATTTCAACAATCCATAACACACAGCAGGAAAATACAAGTAAAACAGCCAATGAATGGTACTCAAATAAAGAAGCCGAAAGTTGTAATTGATTACAACGATACAATGGGAGGCGTTGATCGGCTTGATCAGCATCTCCACGATTACCCAACAACAAGAAAACGAGGAAAAAGGTACTATAAGAAAATATTTTTCCATCTTGTGGATATATCCGTATGGAATTCATTTGTACTATATAAAAAAAAAAAAAAAAAATGGAGGAAAACGGGACCATTTGGAATTCCGTAAAATGCTTGTGGAAAAATTAATTGAAAAATACCATTCAAAAGTGTTACCCAAAAGAACAGGTCGGCCTGGTTACCAACCTGGGCCTCTGAGACTAACTGAAAGGCACTTTCCCGAATTTGTACCACCTACAGAAAAGAAAGCGGCCCCTTGTAGAAATTGCGCCGTTTGTTGCAGTAAAAGAGATGAGAGGGGTAAAAAAGATAAGGAAAGAAACAAGATACTATTGTAGGAACTGTAATGTTGGACTTTGTGCACAGTACCATGCTTCATGGTATATCATACCAAACTGAATTTTTAGTCATTCTTATGCTTGCAAGTATGAAAATTTGATTTAATTTGATTTTAATAACTTGAAATTCAAAATAAACATGTAATCAAATCGTTTTCACTTTGTTTGTATAATATATATATATTTTTTAAATTAGCCTATACTTGTACCCCTGTATGTTGTCTTTTCTAATACAAAGGAGCATAACAAAAGACAACTTTAAGTGAAATTATTCCATGTCTTAAAATGCACTAGAGAATATGATTATGCAAGAAAAAAAAATAGGTGATTTTTTGACCGAAAATTAGAAATTAATGTGTGCCTTAAGGGGTTAAAGCCTGTCGAATGTCCTTCTAAAGTGGGGACAGAAAGTAAACTGCACTCAATTTCTGAAGAGTGGATTAAAAAAAGAAACAACAATTGGATACAGTTTTAAAACAGCTCCATTCTGCTTCCATTTGTAGAGATGCAGAATGGAGCTGTTTTAATGCAATCAATAACTAAAGATTTATTTTTCAAACCCATTTCTTTAACAATTGCATCTGTTTTGGTCCTTGCACTTGAGTATTTCTTAGTGATTTCACTATCGGGAAGCATTTTTCTAAATAAAGCTGCAGCGTGATCCGATGCATTCAGTGCCAGGTTGTGCTCCAGTAAAAAGGCAGAGAACAGACATTTTGAATTAATCACTTTTTGGTCCATTGTTTCTGAAGAAAAATTTAATTTTTCATTTTTTTTTAAACAACTCATGTTGTCCTTCTGTTTTTGTGTACGCACATGTTTGAAAACATCTGCCCTTCCACCATGCGAAATCGAAAAATCGCAACGACAGACGGTACACATCGCAAATTTATCACATTTCCTTGAGGAAATAATGGAAGGAAAGTCAACTGTATACGATTTTTGAAACATACACGAGTATTTCACCTTTCTTGCAGACATAACAAAAGATGATAATTTCTAAAACTATTTCTCGAAGGCACGCGTACTCACACAATTCAGGACAAGATGAACGAAATAACGAAAGAACATCCAAATAACAGGCTTGAGCTTGCTTTGTGCTCATTGGCTAATATATGCCAGATGACACGTAGTGGAGCTCGATCCCCTTTGGAGAACTGGAGAAGGACGTTTCTGGATATATATACTCTCACTCACAAAGCAGAAATTCTCATCCGATTCGCAAGGTTTTGTTTTAGATATAATCTAGAGAAAATTCAATTGCTTTCAGATGTCCAAAATCACTTTTATTTATTTATTTATTTATTTTTGTTTTGTTTTGTTCATATAACGAAATATTAAGCCAAGTTCCATAAAAATCGTGAGAAATTTTAAGAATAAGAAAATGTTGGGAGAAATATATTGTAAATCGGATTGGCAGCAGAGCGGTCGAAAATCGGGAGTCTCCCGCTTAAAGCGGGAGAGTTGGCAACTCTGCTTAAACACTACGATAGATATTCCGTGTTCAAGTAATCAGCGATACTCGAAGCAGACAGGGGCACACTAACTGGTGTATTAAGTGTATGGCATGGCAATTTATGAAAGGCAATTAGATACATTAGTTTTCAGTTTGTTATATTTTTCATCATCGATCATATTATTTTCTAAACTAGTAAACATTTACAGGTTATGCATTTACACACTTAATCTACACATAAAATTATAAATTTGCTTTGAATACTTGTCTTAGTAAATAAATTAAAAGCTTTAAAGCAGCTCATGTGCTTATCGGATTTCCCAACCAACATATTAAAAAAGAAATGTCATAAAAAATTTAACCAATACGAAAAATCCTCTATTCTTTAACTATGTTTGGTAAAATTGTTTATTTTATTAATTTATTGAAACTATACTAAATCAAGAATTGCTGAACATTGCATATCATGTACAGTCGTGCATCGTGCAGTTCGAACTTGATCAGCCTTGAAGATATGGGATCACAAGATGCTTCAGAATTTCAAACATATAGTAGTTATCATTGAATATACTGACAATGCAATTTTGTACCATTCATTTGTTCATATCTATTGCTAATTGCATCACTGCAGACACACATGCTTGTGGTGTAAAGTCAAACATAATCACACCAATGGACATATAACAAAAATTTCTACCTCTACAAACAACATCAAGCAAGATATGCTGATACAGGTTGCTGTGCAGCAGACCCTCATTCCAGTGCTTGATATTTCTGTGTAACCCATAATTGCCTAGCACACAAGATGCCTGTTCTCTTGTTCACTGGTGTGACGAGCCTGATGCAATCATTCAATCTTTTCTTCATTTACTGATTTCACATTCTTACCACTGTGGCTTGATTTCATTCAGCATGATTATTAATTTCCTAGAAAACTAATCTGCAGGCTCTGTATGTCAAAGTTCTTCTTTCGTCACACTCCGAAAAAAAGTCTGAATGACTACCCTTTTCTTCCAAAGAGACACACCAAAACTACCCACATAAAAGAACAGCAAATAAGAAACTATGGAATTCTAGTATCTATTGTTCACACCTACACAACCTGCTGTTATACACTTTTATAGTGCTTCTAGGTGGTATTGCTGGTACAAGATATGCATATACATTACACTATTACTGCATGTTCTGTCAAAGTCTACATGATAAAAATGTCAAATCAATTGTATGCTTATTTCCTGATGTTGCATCTCGGATGGCCAACATTGTATATTAAGCATATTGTGACTATTTTTGTATATTTTATTAATGAAGTAAAATGTTCGTTTCTTGGATGAATATTATACACTACTTGGCATTACTTTTGGTTGTATCTAACAGAACAATACATAGCACCATCGTGTAGGCAACAAAAGACCTTCCAAAGCAATTATAAAAATAGTAAGACAGAATGTACCAGAAATTATATGCAAAAAATAATTGTGAGAAATTGAACACAAAATATAAGTTTAATGTAATTTTGCTACATTTTACTTTTTTTCTGTAACATTTATGTTACGGTTATGAAACTTCTGCCATATGTTTTTTCATGCTTTACAATTTTTTTCCTCACAGTAACTGTTATAGTAGAAAAATAACTTATTACATATGATTCAACAAATAATTTAAACAGTTAAATTTTAATTATCATAGAGATATTATTATAACTTACTACAGTTGCACCAACTGCCTGAGGTAATGTTAAAGTTGCACCACCTTCGGGGATGTAGCCAAGAAATGAATATGGCATACAAAACGTAGCAGTATGACTGGCTATAGTCACATCCGCATGATTAAGTATTGTCAGTCCAAGCCCATAAGCTGGGCCATTCACAACGGCTACTAAAGGTTTTTTGAAATCTGATAAGGCTTCAATTAATTCCCTAGAAATAAACAAAATAAAAAGTTTTAACCATACATTGAGATAAATGAATATTTAATTGATAATTAAAATATCCAAAAAACACTGAAAATGTATCATGCACTTTACACGGATACTGAAAAGAAAATCATTAGTTCATTATAATTTTACCCACAAAAATGAATTTCATATTACAGTTGATAATAACAGGAAAATAAAAAGTATTATTTAATCAAGTATTTAAAGTTAGTTTTGCAGGCCATGTGATATTAAAAAATTCTCTTGAATTTTGATTTTAGCTTGCAGAAAGAACCCCTACAAGGGTTGCTTGAAAAGTTCCACAGAACACAGTTTTAAGATCATGACATTAAAGCAAATTTCTTCTAAGTTACTAAGGGCATTTTTTTGTCTGCAGCAAAATATAAAAGAAGCGTAAGATTTCATTACAATATTAGAAACTGTTAAATTTAAGAAACATCGTCAATAATTTTTAATATAATTATTGATCAATCAAACAAATCTTCTACAATTAAAACTGGGAAATGCAGATTTCAATAGAAACATACGAGAAACTCTTCATAGTTAAAATCTTGGAATACGAAATGTTTTCTTTCAAATAAAATTCTAATGCTTTAGTATCTAAAATAAATTTTTATTTATCTGATAAAATAAAGAGTTGGACAGAAAATAATGTCTAAGATAAAAAACTTGAATTCAAAGCCCCAGCTACAGCACAGATTGGCAATGATGCTAAGAAGGACTTTTGTATAACATGAAACTTAAATCTTGATCAGCTAAACCATAAAAATGCAAACCAAAGCATTTAGAAGACTTGGAAAAAAACTAAGAAACACATTCAAACATTTCACATTCTATAAGTTTTATGAATTTGAATGTAGCATGCAGCCATATGCATAAGAAACATCACCAGTATATACTGCATCATCCTATCACACTCTTAGAGCCATTTTTTTATCTGTTTTTAAGTACATAGCTTTTTTACACGCACACTGCAAAGCTGTAGTATTCTTCGACAGCCTTGTTCGACGTAATGAAAAAAAAGTTCTATATTATAATGCTAACCTCCAAAAACAGTCATCATCATACTATACACCATGGGTTCTTAATAAGGGGTGCATAGGAATATTTCAGAATGGACACAATAACTTATCAAAACAATTTGACATAACTACTGAAGAACAGGGCACACATTCATTCATAATTCGGTATTCTCATCCAAGATAAACAGCAATGGTTTTCACATATGTTTTACAAATAAAATTTAACTCACAATCTCTTGCGTATTATATGCATTTGTAATAATTTATTACTTTTTTTCCATTTGTTTTAATAAAAATTCTTCTGCAATTTCAGTTTATGTACTTAAAAATATTCTTCCATAATTGCCTTATTTTACTGTCAAAGTGGTCAGTAAACAAAAAAAGTTAAGAATCTCCACAATAGACAGAGACTCGTAAATCAGGTCTACATTCATATGTAACTCTAACGTTTAAAAGATAATGTATCTCTGCTATGGCATGCTCCTTTTGAAGAGCAACAAAAAACTAGAATGGTACAACTAGTGAGGCAGTACATAAATGCACCAAAATATTGGAGGCACCAGGCACCAGAATTTAGGAGCTTGCACTGGGGAATTCAATATTTGCTTATATAATGTTGCTTGTCCAGGCCTCCTGGGATTTTGCCATGGTGCACAGATAGATTTTTTTTCCCACTAGACAGCAAACAATATCAGCTTTTAAGCAAAATAAACCTGTTATCCTAAAGGGGTTCTCAGACAGACAGAGAGAAAAAAAAAAAAAAAAAAAAAGCCGAGTACTGGCCCAGTACATGACTTATGTGATCTCAAACAGGATCAAGGGTTTCAGCTGGGAACTCTAACCCACATACAGCTTATTTTTCAGACACTGCATTTAATGGTTACCATCTTTTTTAGCTTAAGTAGCATTTCTTGTATCGGCAGAAGTTTAAATAAATGAGATGATGTTGAGCAGTCATTCACTTCTTTGTTGCCTCATTTTTAGAGAAAAGGCATCCAGCTACTACTCAAACAATGGAAAATAAAATAAATATGGCTAATGACAATTTTTAAAGACTACACTTCAGATTGATTTGAGCTCATGTATAACATAAGCACTTCCTTTCTGTTGCTACAAGCCTACACAGAAAGGTGTTGCTATTTGTCAACATAAAATTACTTTTTACAGGCAGATATCTTTTTTAAATTGGAAACATTATGCATCTAGAAAATATTTATATATGGTCTTTGCACACTGTTCTGTTATAATCATAGTTGTCATTAGATACTTTATTTATGTAGAAAGGTAACTGACTGCATCGTATTTTCAAATTATGTACATTACATTCAAATTATATTTTAGATCGAACTGACTTCTGCTGTTCTGAAAAGTATTTTAGTATTATATAGCTATGACAAAAGTAGAAAAATGACAATTTTATCTATTACCAACGCATATAAAATTTTATGTTGATGTTTAGCAGCATCATGCATTAAATCAGAATCTGGAGGTACACCTGCATAAATCAGCCGACTTTCATTGCTTAGACATTTCTGCGATTTTATGTATTGTTTACGAGTTTTATATTATAAGTAGAGAATAACTTTATATTGTAGAAAAAGGCAGTTGGTGGAACTGATTGATGATTATGGTTTCAGATTCAGATACAGTACCTAGTGAAGATGAAAGTAGGGACAGTGATGAAATTTATGACAGAGGCAATAGATTCACAAAAATAAACGGTGAAGCAGTAAATCTCATTGATTCTTAAATTAATGCTGCTATCCAAAAAGGATCTTCAAGTTTAACTGGTTCAGTGAAATTATCAATAAATTCAGACAGAACATCAAGTGCAGGCACATCAAATGCAATGACTGTTGGAGATGTTCCAGGATCATCCACACAGAAACCTGAAGAACATTAAGCAACCTTTTTTTGCTAAAGGTCTACCTGTTGATATATTGGCCAAGGGAACTCCTGATAATTTATCAACTATTACATACAGATTTATAAATAATCTGTATTCTTTTCTGTAGCATTACTGGCACAAATGGTAGAAGCAAGAGAATTACCACTGAACACTGTTGTCAAATAACAACAAAATACCAACATTACCTCATTCTTACTTGGCATGAAATTTTTAGTACTCATAATTTTATTTTGTTTCCAACAGATTATATTAATACATTTGATCTGAATATAAATATTTTCTTCATTCTGCACATACTACAGCTCTAGTCAGACCTAATTTTTTTTTCATTACAATGTACCTTTTGAAATCATGTCTTTCATTTAAAACCATATGATACGAGTATCATACTAACCAAAATGTAATAAATTGTGTAATATAAATAATAAGCAATCTGACTATATACTCTCATCTTTCTTGTCTTGGTGTTTTTTGTGTATCATTTAAAAATTTTTGTATTTCTTACTTGTTTATTCGAATTCCCAGGTAAGATCAACATTTTCCTTCCCAAGAAGAAGAAGGGGGTAAAAAAAGTAAACAGAACTTCAGGTGATTGTATAATATAAAATGAGAACCTGAATAAAAATTAATTCTACCTCAGTCTGGTGGATTAGATGGTGAATGAAAAATTGTACAGCAGTGTTTCTGCAGAATGGCTGAAACAGTAAATGAAATGAATTTTTTTTTTTTTTTTTGTGGTGGACGCAGAAGAAAATAAAAAGACAGCAATCTCTCCCTATTCAGTCTTCAAGACATGTTTCCCTCTTTTCCCCAAAGCGCATAAGCAACGGCAAGTATCGAATATCCCTTTCAGTCTCTTTGGGGTCCATTTTTGACCCTTAGATTACTACTGATACTCTAGAGTTATTTTGGCATTTGCATGGTCAAAAACTTTGTGAAATTTTGAATCGAGGTGCCCACAGTTAGTAAATGGAGTATTTGTGAAGATGTTGCAGTTATTTTAAATGAGTGGAAGTAGTGTCAAACTTTTGGAGACTAATGGTACACAAAGAAGCAGTCCCAATTATATCACTGTATTTAAACAGCAAATCTAAAAATGGATGTTGAAATACCCTGCAATGAATGGCATTAACGCCACAACAACACAATTTACAGTTGAATCAAATTTGATGTTATTAAAAAAAAAAACAGAGAGAAAAAAAAAAAAAAAAAAAAAAAAAAAGATGCCAGAGAAGGACAGCTTTTAATGGACTGTAAACTGTGAAGTATCAAGAATTGTGAAGCTTCCTTATGAAGTGTAAAATTATAAAATATTTTAAACTAAAGAATAATAAGATAAAAAATTATATTGTTAATAATAATGCAGTTAATATATTAACTTCATTTGCTTAATGATGCATGAGGAGGAGTTGAAAAATAAGTTTTTCTAAGCTGCAATGGGCAGTGTTTTCATTCAAGTATTTCAAATAATAGACTGCAAACATAAAGAAGTTGGCTTACTTTATTTTACTACATAATCACCAATAATGCATTTATTACATTTCGTAACAAGGTTTAAAAAATTTATTGGGGGAAAAAAAATGTATGTTCTGCATAAGGAAGAACCGCTTCACAGCTGCTTTCACTTCTTCACTCCTTGAATCATTTCCTGTTCTCCTTTACATTGGCTCTTGATATTCACTCAGATCTCACTGTATCTAGCACATGGTCATACTCTTCAGAAAACTACTTACACAATTTTCTTCAACATGACACAAGGACCAAAAATTCCACAAGCTTATGGATGTCAGTATCCGATGTCTCACTAACCCATTTATACAGCAGCAAATGATCACACTCTTCAGAAAACTACCAACACAATTTGCTTTGACATGACACCAGGACCACATATTCCACAAGCTTGTTGTGGAAGCATCCTATGTCTCACTAACCTATTTATACAGCACAACCTCCTTCTTTGTCCACAACTGCAAAATATGTCTACTCTACATACCTGCCAGGCATGGAATGCCCTGCTCATCCAATCTTTCAGCTAGACTGCACTAGCACTGTTAAAACTATCCTCTTGTTTTATGGTTTCTTGAAATGGAAGGGAAAGTTATTTTTTTACTTCTCGTTTGTATACACATCACTTGATTCTTCCTCGATCCCCCAATTTTCAGATTGTGAAAATTATTAAAAATACAGGATAATACACCTGTAAACAGTGTTTATTACATCATAGCTGCCAATCTTGGAATCTGAAAAACAGGATGATTTTTTGTGTGAAAGCCGGTAGGTTTTCCCATTGCATAACATCATTTCAAAAGAACTACAAACAAACTACTCATGGTTCTGATTATAAAATATATTAATATTTAATTAGATATCTTAAATTTTTTATTCTGTGGTTAATTTCAATCTTTTAATATTCTTATACTTTTTCATACTGAGAAAATCCCAAGTAAGGGAGTAATAATTAATGTACATAGTATTTGTGTGGATAAACTTTAGAATGTACCATACACTATAGTAAAACAAAATTAAATACAAAAGGTTTAAATAGACTTTATTCTTCATGTAAAGTTCTACACAGGTTTAAAACAATTCAGATGAAAATAAATATTAAGAAAAATATACATAAAATGTAATAAGAAAAAGATAATAAAATAATACAATTCAGATGAAATCAAAATTTAATGGGAAAAATTATTCTGAAATTCATTACAGGTGTAGGAGAATGCAATTTGCAGAATTTAATTTCCATTAATTCAATAAATTTCCTTCATTGCAGGGAAATATTTTCATAAGTAAAAACTAAAAAATTAAATACAGGGAAATGCAATCATTTCCTGCGAGATGTGATGAAAAACCGGGAGAACTGATGGCTGCATACGTTTAAAATAATAGATACCCACTCAAAATTAATGAATACACAATATAATTAACTTACTTTACAGCTACAGCCATCTCCGTTGATGCTTTAATTTTACGAGGTCCTACAAGAGGTTTTAAATCAAGGCCTAAACAGAAAGAATCACCAATACCATTTAATATAAGGACTTGACAGTTACTGTCATTTCCAATTCGATTTATAACATCCCTTAGCTCTATTAATGCCTGAAAAGAAAGATTGATTAGAAATTCAGTAACACAGCACAAAGGAAAAATTTTCAAATTATGCACAAAAGAGCATGCTCTTTTTTGTATAATAAGGAATTTTTGCATTATGTAAGGACTACTAATCTAAAACAATTTTAACATCAAGACACATATGTATATAATTAACATTCCATTTTTAACTAGACATTTTAAAAGTAAAATGCAGTATACATACTACTTAAAACACTCAGAACAAAAATTTCCAATATGTTAACAACACTTAAGTACTGCATTTACTTGCATATTTTTTTCCTTAGCTTAAGCACAAAGTTCTGCAATTTTTTAAAATATTCACATAATTTTCCCTTTCCCTATGATGTTCAGAAAGACAGCTTTCCTAAATTTTTAAATGGATTTGTCTATGTAGTGATTGTTTCTGTCTTATTATTTCATTTTCTCGCACAGATTAGTTGCATGGGGTCTAAACTGATGAAGCAATAACAGGTTACCATTAACAAAATAATTAAGGACCTATTAGTGAAGGGAATTAATTGAAAAAAACAAAATTTAGGACCCATAGTGATTGCACCAAATGTCAAAATGCCCTGTTTATGCTGCAATTAGACATATAAGATGGATCTTTAAAACTGTCAAGTTTTTCAATTTCTTTATTAATAGAAAAATTTATTTCTACAGATGCCTGTTCATGTTACAAGAACTATTTTTGCAATTTTCCATGCTTGTTTCTAGTTAAAAGATAAGAAAACATAGGGAAGATAAACATATTACAAGAAAAGACTTCTCCGATCAAAAACAGAAAACTCAAATAACTTTGTTTTCAAACATATTACAAGAAAAGACTTCTCCGATCAAAAACAGAAAACTCAAATAACTTTGTTTTCAATGTTCTTCCAAAAATTTTCCATTAAGAAATTCATCACGAATTTCCTTTACATTTCACACACTCATTATGTGTTAATATCATGAAAACATCTTTCATTTGGTCATATTTTTCTGAAGCATATATGCATAAATCTCACTTTGAAATCCTTCTAAACATTCCAAGGTGTGATTATCCCTGCCAACTCTGTAACGGCAAAAAGCTAGAAGATTTTTGAATGAAAAATTCAGAAAAGGAAAGTGTACAGTGAAATTTTACAAGAAAACCGACACACATTTGATATTCTGAAAAAACTACATGGGGTTAGCTAATGGAAAAATATAAAAGAAGAAAAATAAAATCAGCTTTAAAATAACTAAAGTAGCATTTCTGCATTTGCTAAGAAGTACTTCAGAAACTGCGTTTCGTGTTATTTATCATCTTATTTATTTTTCAGAATCAAAATATTTTTAAGTTGCCAAAATGGAAAACAATGTAATTTTAAAACATGACAGGGGAAAATAAAAATGTTTTATATTAATGCTATTTCTTAATTACAATTTTAATACATTATCATGATTTTAACAATAATTACCAATTTTATTATACTTGTAAAATAAATAAATTAAAAAAAAATAACAAATATCCAGATAAAATTTTTTTTACACAAATTGATCTTAAAATCAAATTTAATATCCCCTAATAAAAGAAATAATATCTCAGAAAGTGAAAAGATGTTTTTGATTAAATATTTTGAGCTGTTCATTCACAAAAAAGGAATAAATTCAAAATAATGTTTCAATTGAGAAAGGGCCTCATGCTCAATTAAAAAGTATGCAAGAATTCAATTGAAATCCCATCAAATATATATTTAGCAATGAATAGAAAAAGAGTCTTCCAAAATGTTAATTCATACTCAAAAACAGCAGTGGTAAAACAACAGATTCAAATATCAGATGAGTAAAATTAAGGACCTTTTGCTGATGTGGGCTGAAATCAAGGACATTTATGGACCCAGAATCATTTGGAAAAAGGACCTAGGACTTTTTAAGTACTTTTAAGGACTGTACGAGCCCTGAGTAGCAGTGAAGAGCTTCAAGAGAATGGGGCTATCTAATGCTAATGATGGCTCTGAAGATTACTGCATGTAGGAAAACACACAAAACAAACAAAATGATGATTGTTTGTTTTGTGTGTTTTCCAAACAGACGATGCCAATGACTTGCAAGCTGTAACAAACTACATACACAGCAATTCTGGAAGCATTAAAATGATTTCAGGCCTAGGGAGTAGCAATAAGAGCAAGCAAAAAGATACAAGAAGCAGAAATGGAGGAATTGTTGCATTTTTCTTTCCTGGCACCAGTTGTTATGTTATTTTCTTCCTTCACGTTCACATGGGGTTCGTGAGGATTTGGAGTGAATGATGACAATACTACTTGATGAAGTATCGAAACACACTTTATTGGCCAGTATTGTCAGGACAGCTCCAAAACACGTTTTTGCAGTCGTACTACTATAAACATGCGGGAAAGCTATCTTACCGCGCCTGGACATTTCGCAACAGTATTTTATTAGATAATATTACCACGTAAGTTTCTTTTGAATAAAAAATATTGTGATAATTACTAGTAGTTAACAAATGAATACTTTTTATTTGAATGTTCTTACTGTACTTCAGAAATTAAATTATTCACATAATTTTCCCCTCTTAATTTTCCATCCAATAAAAATGAAAAGACCAAATTTTACAAACTGATACAGCACTAGTTTAACTAGAAAAAGTGTCATCATCTATGTAAAATAATAAAGATTTCTTCTCCAAAATGTGAAAGAATATGATTTTACTATATACAGCCTGTATATTTCTATGTATCAAAAAATTAAAAAAAAAAAAAAAAGTCAAATAAAGAATTAAACAGAAAATTATACATAATTTGGAACAAAAAAAAGGGGGGGGGGCTCAACAGTTTTAACTAATAATATGTAATAATAAAAAGAGAGTGTTTCAGTGAATGTATATGTATAGAAATGGTACATTCATGTAGTGAGTGACCTGCACCTGAAAAAATCAAACAATCAAGAAAATAATTTCTTATACAGTACATTGCTACTAATGAAATATCATCAGTGTCACATAAGCCTGAACTTAAGATTGAATTAAAAAAAAATGGCACCATAAAACAATCTCTAAAAAAAGTCAGTATTGCGGCAGAATTAAGATCCTGTTTGCAGTGATTGATGGTACTCAAGATTTGATCATTATTTTTTAACTAACATCATCTAACATCTTTCTAACAATCACTTGCAAAGGACAGCAAGATGAAGATAATCACATTTTGTGTAGGATATTCATGCATGTGCATTACATGAGAATGTACATGATGAAAGAATCACATGAAAATACATTAACAGAGAGCCATTTAATGATGTGCAAAAAATGCTCCAAGCAGCAGGACATGATTACCTTCAATAGAAAATGCTTGGCTAACAGCATCACAAGGCTACCATAAATTACTCAAAAATGAGAAACATGGCTGTTGAAAGTCAAAAGGGATAAAAACAGAATATATAATTACCAGCCATTATACTGAAGACATGTAAAGGTTATTGAGAAATAAATAATAATTTAATATAAAATCCCCACTCAACTCATTAATGCTCAAACTAATTTTGCTAATTAAAAAAATATCTCAAATCTAAGTTATTATGATTTTCTGATGATACAAATTATGAAATTCAAGCAACTCTTGTATTAGTTTTCAAATTACAGCCTGTCCTTATTTGAGGATGCTAGGTGTTTCAATGAAAAAATATTTTTGTTAGTGAAGTTAGTCAACTTAGTTACTGCAATAATGGCCTAGGGAGTAGCAATAAGAGCAATAAAAACTGCAATAATGGCCAAGTTTAAATATTTTATTAAACTTTTGGATAGGATTTATTTTAAACTGTTTAACTTTTTCAACACTTAAATATATAGATTGAATTTAGAATTAGGTTTATACTATAAATTTTATCTAAAAAAATTTACAGATCAAGTATTCAATGCATACACAAAATACTTGAGAATGTATAACACGTGAAATACATTTAAAAACACAAAAATTATTTAAAATATGCAAGTAATTGTTATATTTAGTGTGGTATTGGGGAAAGCAAGAAATTCACAGTATTATATTACACTTCTGGCAGAATGTTCATGATTTTGATAAATATTCTTCAGTTGATGTTTACCTTTCTTTAAAATAGTATGCTCTACAGGATCATAGTGAATATCATTAAAATCAACTGCCAAAGACGATGGCTTTGAAAACAAATGACCTTTCTAAATGATTATTTAGACCTTTTTTCAAGTAGATTATCACAATTTCATGGAGAAAATCTCTTATCAACATTTGTTTATTGATCTCATTTTGATAAACAATCTTGTACAAGGCACAAACATTCATAATAGACATATCATATATTCTAGTAAATAAATACTAATATAACTGTTTACTCCTTATATGGATAATAAAATGCTTTTCCAAGTACCGTGTTGATCAATACTTCCCACAAATGTGTTGAATTCAAGTATTAGTTTCAGTTGAGGAACAGTTTTTTTTTCTCCCCCCCCCCCCCCCGACCTTTGCATCAATGCAGTGTTCGCCTACCCACAAGATTTATTTTTCAAAATCAGTGGCTAATAAGCATATTTGTTATCACTCTACCTTGCCATTAGAATTTCTTTTTCCTTATCAAATTGATGATCGTAGAAACCTCTTTGCTTCTTTTCTGTGTCTTTTCTGAGATTTCAGAAGACATTCAGCCATTCTATTATCTCTTATAGTGGCATAAGCATGAAACCAGATTCTTTCAACATTACTAACAACTCACTGCTGTTGAAAAAGTTATCAAAAACTCCGTATGATTAAATGGATTATTCACTATAGATAGCACTTCAAAAATAACTTGGGAGAGCAATGAAAATAACTTGGAGAGCAAAAGAAGTCTTTGAACTTGTTTTACATTCCATTGAAAGAAAAATTACAATATCCATTTTGTCCACAATTTGTATTCATTTCCTAGTAGTTTACATTTCATAAATTGCTTCAAAGAATATTGACCCTAATAATGTATAATCATTTCATCAATAGATAAATGTACTTGAAATACACCCCATCGTTGAGGGTTTTTATTTAGTAAATCTAATAAATGCCCAATTTTAAAAGAATTGCCTGTTTTATTATTTTCGACTTTACTACTGCATTTGAAGTGTATAAGAGCTTTCAATTTAGTACAAAAATTTTGACTTATTTTGATTTTGATTTCGACTTAAGTTGATGCTTAAAATCCTCATATTCTGGCCAAAAATCTCTTTCACTTGGTAGTTTGTGATAGCCAGAAAATATGAGAAATCCCATAAATATTATTATTTCCTCCTCAGATAAAGAGTAGCATGAATTATTTTTTTACTTCAGCAGCATACTTAAGTGCTTCAGTTAGAATAAGGTCATATACTTCATCACTACAAAATGTTTCAAACATTTCGATTACACTTAACTGGTCCATTTAATTTATAAAATGTTCAGTATTTCTCCCTACTTCATCATTAAATTTTGAATATTTAGAATCATCTTTTGACCATAGACCATAGTTTAGAATCATCTTTTGACCATAGACCCTAGTTTAGAATCATCTTTTGACTTTTTTTATTTTTGGTTGACCTTTATATATATATATATTTATTATTTTAAGGTTATAGTTCTGCATAATTTTCATTGCTTCTGAAATATCGATTTCAGCTTTTGGCAATATTAGATACCCTAAGTACAGTTGCAATCTCATCATCAAAATCTTCATCAGTTAGGCATCAACCTCCAGTGGAACTGCAATTATATCCACTTCATTTTTTCAAGAACAAATGTTCTCGGGCTTCTTCAATGCTAAGAAACATAATAATTACATAACACTTTCTTAAAATTATGGAAAATATAAGTAATTCCTTTAAAATTCTTAATTCAGCTACTAGTCCCAAAAATATGAAATAACAAACAAATAATGATTATGGATTTTTGAACAAAAGGTTGACTCTAATGCAAAGTGTCCTGAATCAAGTACAGCATAACAAGACATCATTTTTTAAAAAGGAAATTCCAACATAACAGACTATTTTACTATCATTATTATTAAATAAATGCTAGATCATTCACAGTTAAGATCATTAGGTGACGAGCTCTCCAATACGTTTTAACAATACAATCCAAATCATTTACAGCAGAACACATGTTCAGATCAGCAGCAGTCACGTCTCGTCCAGAGTCACACAGAACATATTCAGGTGAATTAGTCAGTTTAAAACAGAACAAATATGTACCAAGACAATCATTTTACTATCCTATGTTAACACAGAATTCTTAAGAAAAGTATAACAATAGATATAATGCCTGACCTTGATTTAGTTGATGTACCTGCACAAAAGCATGTGCGAGGCTTGAAAAATCCCAAAATGGCAATCTAAATCATGAAATTACAAGTAATACCAGATCTGTAAAAATCTGTGGGTTGTTTATAGTGATGTCATCTACTATTACTAAAAAGGAAAAATAAATCGTTCCAATCAAACCAAAGAACTCTAGCCATTTCATTAACCATTCTCTAATGAGGATGCTGGGCATTAATGGGTTAATATAATTTTATTCTTGATGTATTATTTAGTCAAGTTATGTCATACTTTATAGAGTACCATCATTTACAATACCATACTTGCCAACCTATGACACTCAAAAATCAGGAGATTTTTCACAATGTTAAAAAGACTTTTTAAATGATAAAAATATAGTTTTTAATAATGAATTAACTTTAAATAGTTACTAAGTCTTAAATGCAAGCAAAACAAAAATACCTTAGACATAAAAAACATTTTTATTACTTTCATCGTTTTAAAAAAAATAAATAAAAAAGGCACTTTAATCAGTTTTCATACAAATGTTATGGACAGTGGCAGATTTTGCTCTCGTTAAGAAAGAAACTTCATAATTTTGTTCATAGCAATTGCCACTTAGGCCTGCTTTCGCTAATAAAAGTTTTTCTAATGTGTCATCACTAATATTAGATCTAAATTTAGTTCTCGTTTTCGCAACAACACTGAAAATCCTCTCACACTCCGCATTACTATGGGGAACTGTCAAGATGGCCAACATAATTCTAGAGAGTTCACTATATTTTAAAATTCCATCAGCACCTTTCAATTTTCCAATTAACCTCCACTGGGTGTCAATCCTAGCTGATTTTATAACTTCATCCAAGTTTTCTAATTGTAAACTGCAAAATTGTGACTGAAGTATATCAGTAGCAACATCAATATCATCATCTTTCATGACTAAACGAAGTAACACAGGAAATCTGTTCTAAAAATTAAAAATACCTTATATCAGAAAAGATGCATTTTGCTAGAGCAGAAATATCAGCAACTTTAGCATGCAAAATCACTTCATCGTCGTTGACTGGAAATTTATGTAGTGTGTAATCACATACTCGACAGAAGTAAACTTCTAACATGAAGATAAAACTTACTTTTGTTTTCTTCTGAAAGTTCTTCCACTACTTTTGTAGTTGCAGCTCCTATTACCAAATCTTCATCTTTCTTCCGATTTTCTGTTTCACCATAAATCACATCATATATAGAATTACAAGACAAAACACAGACTGGTTTTACAAACTTTGATAAAATGTCTTTAAACAGATCATAAATCATTGATTGCAAAACATGAATTAATGGAATTCTGCTTTGTAGAATTGTGTTCAGAACATCGAATGCTGGCAAAATGAATTGTAAAAAAAAGCAAAAAGCTTTGTTAAGGTCCGAAGAAAAAAACATAAATATTCGTTCTTCACAAGATAAACTTACAGTAATCGGAAAATGTTTCGTGTGTTGAGCAATTTTTTTTTTATTTTGAGAGAAATTTGTATCAGCTTTACGCTTATATTTTGCAGTATTATTTTGAGAACTGCCAGTTGAATTGCTGAATGATGCAGAAATTACTTTATTTTTCTCAAACCCATTTTTAACAATGGAAGTAGTAACTACATCTTCATTTACTTTAGGTACTTATAACTTTCAATAGAGCCTTTTATCTTAACTCTCGAAGCATTTACTTCTTCTTTAAAAAATGCAAGAAGTGGGTTCCATTGATCGAGGATTCTAGATAAGCATTTCTTTAAAGACAACCAGCGTGTACACACATGTTTCAAAATTTTTCTCATTTCAGTATTATGCAGCTGTTGGAACTGTTTCAATTTTCCCTTTCTTTTAGAACTCCTTTCAAGATAATAATAAATATCAACAATGTGTTCATCCACATTTAATGGTAAAGAAGCTGCCCTTTTTTCAGCTGCTAAATTTAAGAGGTGACAGGTGCACCTCATAATCTGCAAATCTGAATTTGCCTTTCTTAAAATGCCTGCAACACCAGTCATCAAGCCTACCATTACTGGTGCATTATCGGCACCAAGTGCTAAGCAATTATTGAGAGGGACTGCATTTTCTTTTAAATTTTAATAATTAGCTGTGCTATATTAAAGCCTGTCAAATGTCCTTCTAAAGTGGGGACAGAAAGTAAACTGCACTCAATTTCTGAAGACTCTGGATTAAAAAAAGAAACAACAATTGGATACAGTTTTGAATTGGTATTATTGCTTCCATCCGTAGGGAGGCAGAACGGAGCTGTTTTAATGCAATCAATAACTGAAGATTTATTTTTCAAACCCATTTCTTTAACAATTGCACCTGTTTTAGTCCTTGCACTTGAGTATTTCTTAGCGATTTCACTATCGGGAAACATTTTTCTAAATAAAGCTGCAGCGTGATCCGATGCATTCAGTGGCAAGGTTGTGCTCCAGTAAAAAAAAAGGCAGAGAACAGACATCTGCTTAATCACTTTTTGGTCTTTTGTTTCCGAAGAAAAATTTAATTCTTCTTTTTTTTTTTTTTTTTCAAACCGTACATCTCATGTTGTTCCTTGTGTTTTTGTGTACGCACATGTTTGAGAACATCTGCCCTTTCCACCATGCGAAATCGAAAAATCGCAACGACAGATGGTACACATCGCAAATTTATTAACACTTTCCTTGAAGAAATAATGGAAGGAAAGTCAACTGTGTACGATTTTTGGAAATGTGCACGAGTATATTTCACCTTTCTCGCAGACATAACAAAAGATGATAATTTCTAAAACTATTTCTCGAAAAGCACGTGTACTCACACAACTCAGGACAAAATATGAACGAAATAACTAAAGAACATGGCCAAATAACAGCCTTGAGCTTGCTTTGTGCTCATTGGCTAATATATGCCAGATGACATGCAGTGGAGCTCGATGCCCATTGGAGAAACTGGAGAACGGACGTTTCTGGATACGTATGCTGTCAATCACAAAGCAGAAAAATTTCTCATCTGATTCGCAAGGTTTTCATTTTAGATATAATCTAGATAAAATTCAATTGCTTTCAGACATCCAAAATAACATTTTTTTTTTTTTTTTTTTTTTGTTCATATAACGAAGTATTAAGCCAAGTTCCATAAAAATCGTGAGAAATATTAAGAATAAGAAAAAGTCGGGAGAAATATATTGTAAATCGGGTTGGCGGGAGAGCGGTCGTAAATCGGGAGTCTCCGGCCTAAATCGGGAGAGTTGGCAACTCTGCAATACTCTTAATTAAACAAACTTTTAAAATCTTCATTTCATATTAAATACATGCAAATTTAATATAAACATAAAACAAAAAATACCTCCAGTGTAAGAAAAATTGATTTTCCTCTTGTAAGCTTTAACACAACCTGTGTATATCTGTTATTTCTATTAACTCGAATTGTTTTGTAATGACAAGAAAAGCCAAATGATGTTGGACGTGGAACACTCTCATCTTCATCATGTTTTGTACATTCATCTGCTGAAATGAATAAAATACAAAATCACTAATGCATTTAGTTTTATCATTTTACAACAACACTATACAGTACAACGTATGAAATCTGAAATGATATAATATCAGTAAATTTTAAAGAAATCCCTTTCAGAGTTTAGGAATGGAAAATACTCAAAAAACAGATGTGTCTTAAAAATGATTTTCCTCCTAACTATGATTCCACCATGCCAGTTTCTAACATCTGCTGGCTACAGCATCACACCGTGATCAATGACAACACATTTGACGGATGTTACACTGATGTTGACTACTCTAATGTCTCACTGAATTGATGTTGGCTGTTTCAACACTTCAGTGATTTGGGATGGTGGTGCATTTTCCCATCTGACTTAATAAATGATTGCTTGGAGTGGGATGTTGCTCATATTGGTTTTCTTCTGTTGGCATAGTAGCAAGGAAGAAAAAAAGAATTAGATTTCGAGGTTTGATTTATTTTGATTATGGTAAAGCACACTAGGGCTATTTACATAAGGAAGAGGGATGCATTTGTGGAGGATTTTCCATGGAAAACTAGCTCATATCCACATTATGGATAGAAAAAAATGTCCATGCAGCAAGCCCGTTCACCTGGAATCGAACATAATTTGAACTAGCTAGAGCTGTGGGGGCCTGAAATGAAGATACAAGCTAGCTTTTAAAAAATCTACTCTAAATTTTCTGAACAGTGGACTGGACAAAAACAGGAAATGAAAATAAAAAGTGTAATACACTTTCAAATAATTTACTGTTCAACAAGATGCTCTAAATCATCCTTGTAAATACACTATCTGGCCAAAAGTATCCAGACAGCCCCCCTAGAGAAAAGGATCAGGCAGGTGACATAATTTGATGTGAAACCGAAAGTTATAAAAGTGGTGGTAGTGGTTGTGAGGTCATATTTATGCATTTAATGAGACAATAAGTAACTTAAAGGAGCTAATTTGATCGTGGCAATAAAGTAGGATGGCTTCTTTGTGGAAAATCAATTCATGAAATTTCAGACATTCTACAGAAAACAAAATCCACTGTGAGTAATATAACTGTGAAGTGGAAACGCCAATGCAGTGAAACTACTGAAGAACGAAGTGGCAAGTCAAACAAAGTTGGTGAGTGCAGCTGCAGAACTCTGAAAAGGTTAGTGGTCGCTCCCGGTCGCTGCAGAGGAAAAACCTCTCTCAAAAATTAATTCATCAGAGCAGAGATGGACGGGCGACCATCACGAAGAAATCTACACGAAGACCGATCTCCACTCTAACTACTCAGACTCAAAGATATGGTTCCCATGAGCGGGGTCACCACTCCCTTTCGTGGTACTAAAAATATGGATGCTTAAAATAAATCACGAGATCATATGTCCCTCTACACCAACCAAGAGGAGCCAACCCCTCTCAGATGGTCAACACCATCAGCCATGCAGCGTCCCCACGGCCAAGGTCGTAGACAAGACAGTACCATTATGGCTCCTGCCAAGCCTAAACCTACGATCGAATATACGATGGTTCCAATCTATGTGAAGACTGATTATTTGCTCTGCACGCCGAAGCTGTCTAGCTAGAGATCTGGAAGAACCCCGGGTCTCCTCTCATAAATGGTCGGTTCTGGTAATTTCACCCAGTCGAACCACAGAGTTACCATCATAGGACTGTGGGGAAATGTTCTTTAGATTGAAGAATTTCACTTTACGATCTGGCAGCCCGATGAACGTGTCTGGCTTTGGTGAATGCCTGCCAAATGTGACTTAAGTGGCTGCATTGAGGCAGTCACTTAAGTGTAAGGCGATTTTCATGGTTTATCCTGGGTCCCTTAGTTCCTGAGGCTGGAAGAATGAACTTTGAGATGTATGCGAACATCCTGGACAATGCTGCTGTCCTAACTTTATGGCAATAATTTTGGGGCAAGGCCCATTTCTCTTCCAGCAGGATAACTGCTCCATTTACACATCAAGACTCGTACAGCCATGGTTTTACAAAATGGGTGTTCAAAAACTGGATTGGCCTTCTCAGAGTCCTAATCTAATGCCCACAGAGCACATTTCGGATGAATTAAAAAGCAGATTACATAGCCAACGAAATAGACCATCCTCACTGCCTGCGCTCACTTCAGCTGTGATGGACAGCTGGAAATCAATCCTATGGCTACCTATCCAAAACTGGTGAAGTCTCCTTAGACATGTGCAGGCTGTCATTGATGCAAAAGGGGAACCAAAATCATATTAATATATGCCTCAAGGCTCTCCAAGTCTGTACCATTGGGTGCCCAGATACTTTTGGCCAGATACATACAAAAGATTTACATTTTCATGTAATCTATTATGCATTAAATTTTCAGAACAATTTGGCAATAACAGGAAAAAGGATCAATTATAAAAATATTGTTTCATGTTAATTCTATTAAGTTTACTAAAAAGCAGTTAACTGATACTTCAAAGTCAACATTATCATGTAGTCCAATGGGATTCACCTTAACCAGACAGAAATATGCCTACTTTTGCATTTGTCCTTTCGGCATATGTAGAAAGGAGCGCAAGCAGATGCTTCAAATTCTAATTTCAAGCACTGTATGAGTAGTTAGATAATTTTACGGGTAGAAGGTGGAACATGTCCTTGAGAAGATATTTGATGAATTGTAAGAATGGAAGCAGGTCAGACACTTACACAGGTCTACAGAGAACCAAAAGTAGCTAAAAGCATATAAATGTCAAAACCATAAAAGACAGACTTTCAAGACCATTACTTGGCAATGATTGCTAAAAGAAATAACTACTGATGTCAGCCTGGATTTCAAGGAAATTTCCTGCAGTTACAGAAACTCGACTCGGTTGCATAATAATAAAAAAAAAGAAAAAAAAAAAAAAAAGACTTACATAAGGTAGCCTATTTTCTGTGTCCCACTAACTCAGACTGTGAAAAACACTTAACTGCAACAGTGCAAAAACCTTTGTGATTAGTGAACCATGGACTTTTGCCTCACAACAACAAAGATAATATACATAGAGGGAGCTGCTACATCACTCCTTCTCCAGTAACAGATACTCTATAACTTTTAATAACAATAACTTCAGTGTACATTCAATGTATATAAATGTGAAAAGGAAATACATGTATATAAATGTATAAAAAGTATAAAAATATATATGAAATTAATACGAAATAACAATAATGAATAGTATGTAATTAATCTTTGTAACGCGTTGGAAAAACTTGCATATCTACCAGAGCATGTAGTTTTTTTATGAACTTCTGTGTATGGCAAATTTCATTGTTGTTTTTCAGGTTGTTGATGTGTAGTCAGATTTTCATTGGGCAATGTTTGTGCACTATCCGACTGCTTATGATGCAGAATGTTCACCTCAGTTAACAGCAAATATGCTGGTTTTAATCTGTCAACAAATATATCGACATCTCTGGCAATGACGAAGCGAGCATAACTGTCGCTCGGAGCACGATATCTTTTTGGTGGTCTCTCGAAAAACATAAAGTAACATAATATAACGAATATACTATCTTGGAAACCATTTGGTGCCTCTCTGCAAGCACCGCCCAGTGCACAATAGATCCCCTTGCCCGTCCTTCAGTACGCCACTGATCTCTGGCTAATGGTCACGGTAAAATACTTGTTGAATCTTGTTTACAGTAAATTCCTCACCAGGGGTATTCAAAACAGGACTGTCGGTCTGCATAATTCAATGTTAGAAGAAATTATTCATCTGAAGGTTCACAACAAAACACACGCAATAAGCCTAGATATGAATTCCTGGGGTATTTACAGGACTGCTTGCTGGTACGGTTTAACTTACATTGGTCAAACAAAGAGAGCCTTAAAATTTCGCATTAAGGAACATGAGGCATATGTTAGAAAAAAGGAAACTCAGAAGTCTTCTGTTACCCAGGATCGTTGGTTCGAAAATCCAACTTACAATTTTTCTGTAGCCAAAATTATTCAAAAAACATCTTCCATAGGTGAATTAGAGAGGCATTTCATATTCAAAAAATTTTCTAGAAACATTTCACATTCAAAAAAACCTTTCTGTTCTAGTTAACGACCCTAATTCCAATTCAACTTTGCCTTCAACTTTAAGGAAATTAAGTTTTAGTTCTCGTTTCATCAACAGATGGTGCCAGTACCTTAACTCCTGTCCAGTCTTTCTCATCTTATCTAAACACTATATCTTGTTCATTTGTGCTTTTGCAGCTGAGGCTGACAGTTCAGTAAAACCAAAACTAGTCCTGTGAAAATTTGAAAATACAACGCTGATTCTTGTCGTTTGACTTTAAAATTAATACTTGTTCGGTGTGTTATTGTATCTCAATCATATTTTCTATTATAAAGACATTATTTTTTTTGGCCACTTAAGTCACATAGACCTTTGAGGATGATTTATTCAAAATTTAATTTCATTTATCAGATTCAAACTAGCAAGATGTAGCTGGAGGGGTGAAAAAAGCTAGACGTCCGAAGGAGCGATATCAGGGCTATATGGTGGGCGTGGCAAAAGATCCCATTTGAGTGGGTACAGATTCCAGCTGGTAAATCACAAGTGACGATCCAGAATTTTGTCCTTGTGTTGACGTTCTAGCAAATTAGTGCAAGCCCGAACATGCCTGCCATTATCTGCTTGAGTCAGCTCATCAATTTGTATGTCAAGTTTATGTGAGGCGTATCATGACTAATGGAAATGGCACTAATACCTAACTCCTTAGCAAGCTCTTGAGTGGCTGCACACTGATCTTCTTCCACAAGTTCTTGCAGGTGGGCCTCATCAACATCAGTAGGTCAGCCAAAGTGCTCTGCTTCTTGAATGTCATAGTCCTCATTTTTGAACTTTTGCTACCAAACCTTCACAATGTCACATGATACAACATTAGTACCTACAGCTGTACACATGATTTGGTGACATTCTCTGACTGACTTTTTGCAACACAACTGGAAGTAAATGATGGTTCTTATCTGGTTGTATGATAGTTTCATTTCAAGCACCTTGTACTTAATGATAATGATATTTTTTACAAATTTCACAACACAGTGTCCTAAAGTAAGTCTCTCTCTTTCTAATGCCAAACACTGTTTGACAAAATATATTGGCAGTGGAGCAAAAGCATAAACATACTTTGGCCTTGCCAAAATAAAAAACTTGCAAAAAATAAATAAAACTAATCTTTATTTTATAAACTTAAATCAAATAAACTAGGCTGTAACAAAAGCCTTTACATTAAAAATGACAAAAAACAGTGAATTTCCTCGTGTTCACCATTTCAGTGTATATGCCGCCGATACTATGTCATTGACCAATCAGACGCAACTACTTTAGTTTATCACTGATTAACCTCTCAACCAATTTGCATGAGGAAAACAACAAAATATTAAGTAAAAAATAATAATAATAATAATAATAATCAAACATGCCAATATGAACTGCTTGTGCAGACTATATTTGCAGTGGCGGGAACCCTTGTTAAAACCTGATATTATAAATGCAAGGACTGTAACATAGGACTATGTGCATATTTTAAGTGCCCCATGACCTGAAGACATTATATATTTACAAACAACCAAGTGGCTTTCATGATTTGAACTATGACCCAATGATAAAGGCAACAAGCAATGCTAACCACTACACGAATCAGGGCACTTGGCACTACTCTGTATCACATTACAGACAGAAGTAAAATATTCACCTATAATTTACAAATACATGCCAATTTCAACACATGTAACATTCAAAAATAAACAGGAATTTTTATGCCCCATCATCGAAAAGACTTCGCTCATGTGATTAAATAATCACACAAAATGGACAAAAAAAGTATTTCTGAACTTTGCAACAGTAATGCTAATATTTCTTTTTATCATCCACCCACTGTAGGCATGTCAAACTAGATTTTTGACTAAACAAGCTGCATTATGCCTCAGAATCATTCAATATTTTAAAAAATCCAGTTAAAAATCTTCCAAAATCTAGTGTATGATTAGTGCAAGTTCTATTACAGAAGGACAGGTGAAAGTTAACAACATCTTTGTCAGCCAAGAATTTCATCCACTGAAAACAAGCTGAATGCCACTGGTACACTGATTCAGGTCAACTGGATAACTACTATAAGATAAATCACTAAATATCGGTTGATTGGATAACTGCTAAAAGATAAATCACTAAATATCGGTCAATTGGATAACTGCTATAAGATAAATCACTAGGGATTTTAAATGGTAATGTAGAAACATTAATTAAAGACAGTAATAAATTAATAATTTTTAGCAAAGAAGAAACTCAAGTTTTAATGAGCAGATTACTGATGCCATGCAAGAATGCCAAGCAGTTATTCAAGAAATAAAATGTTTTTTAGTGATAGCATAAGTGTATTGTAAAGGCAGAAAATTACATAAAAAAAAAAAAAAAAAAAATTTAACCCTTTTTGGCACGTTACCTTTTAAAATTGGAATTTAAAAAAAAAAAAAAAAAAAAAAAAAAAAGGCAATCTATTTAGGCCTAGAGGAGTATATAGGCAAAATTTTATAAAGATAGCGCTTACTGTTTTAACTTTGTGGGTGTGCCCGAGGCAGGTTCACTGAATGAATGGAGCTTTGAAAAGAGCACTGAGACTTGGAAAGCACATAATAGAGTAAAAGGTTTTGCTTTCAATTAAAAAACACTAGATTCTGATTACCATAGATGATTTAGCATTACCCAGAGGGCACTATGGGAAGGCCTGCTACTTTGCACCTCCCTCAAAAAAAAGCATTTCTTAGTTATATGATTACATGCATATAAATGAAAAAAAAAAGGTAACTTGGCTCATGATATTTACATTTCATATTTACACTTTCCTCTACTTTTTTTCATTGTGGTATTTCTCCAAGTATGTGACACCACCTTTGAAGAAGAATAACCCAATACTGCATGTTTTGCACATGTACCGGTACTGGTATCTGGGGGTTCCTGTTTGATACTACATGTACACCTTCTCGTACACTTCACTGGTATGTGTTCAACATTATGGAACTTCGTGTCTTCAGAAACTATTATTACACATACAGTTACGAAAATATAAACTATAAAATAAAATGAAATAAACATCTACAACTCGAAACTCTCAAAAACATCTACAACTTGCTAAAAATTATTAATTTATTACTGTAGAGCTAAGAATACTTTTTTCAACAAAAGCGAGAGAAAAAAGATAACTGCTCAAGTGAAAATCAACTGCTAACTGATAAAATTTCCAATGACCTTCAGAAAAACATCCCAACAATACCTTAGTTGATAACCAATCCTTCCCTCCCCCACATAAAAAGGGAAAATGAAACACAGCTGTGCACCCAGCTTTCTGAAATGGTCTCACAGAAAAAAATTCTGCAGTGAAACAGCAATATTAGTTGATGGTCTGGTGTTTCAGAAATCCCATTCTGGGCATTCTTGTTTAAATCACTCAATTTAAACAAGATTTCAAGGTAAGAATTTAAAACTAATATAGAATAAAGAGATCGGGGAAAGACTCATATAACCGGCACTTGGCGTAATTTTTTCCCGCCATCTTGAATTGGCGAAAATCACCAAATCCTTGGAAGGATTTTTTTGACGCCAAGTGGGAAATGACGTCAAAAGACACTTTACAAAATTTCCCTCTTGAGCCCGATATAGGGAAGAAACCTGTGCCAATAAAATAATTAAATAGTGAATGATCATACACAACGACAAACAGCATATGAGCATATGCACAACGTTATCTGCAAAGTCACATGACAGCCAAAGCAAAGTATTTACTTATAGAAAGAAAATATCCCTTCCCTTTTCCCTTTCTCCCTAGCGTAGTGAAGATCTAAACTAGCAATCTAAACTGTCCTCCCACTTTATGGCGCGTATCACCCAAGTTGGCAAACGCGATTTCAGGAATTTCGCCAAGTGCCGGTTATCTGAGTATCCCCGTCTTTTCCATTCAATTTTTCTGTGGAATTTTTTTATGTGTGCCTACACTGGGCAACATGCTGTGCCAGAGAAGGTTAACCATTACATTATATTCAATAAATTTCCATGCAATTTAGCTAACAAATTCCTTTTTATATTTGAACATTCCTCATTACTCTCACATAATCAGATTATTTCAGATAATTATTAAATTAATACTGCTATTATCTGATATACTGACATTACTTTAAATGTATTGGTACTTTCTGATTATCCACACACCCACCAAAATTTACAAAAATGTACTGATGAAGCAATATTATACCATTCCACTGAAAAGCATTTATGTCGAAATCCAGGTATGTGCATAGCATACATGTGGATTTGCAGTTCTGAAATTCAACAGTAATTTTTCAAATGTAATATTTCTTTCTGCAGTGTATATATGATTTTTTGGTAACAAATTATAATGAGGTTCTGGAGTTTGTCAATTAACTAAAATATTGCATTTTTTTCAGAAATATGGCATTTTACCCATTAATAGAAAATGTAAGACTTTGTATTCTATTGTTAAATAACCAATGTGAATGAAATAAATCAATTGGAATAGCAGAACAGCTACCAATCAGAATGTAAAAAGATATGCAGTATTTGATGCAGATACCAGAATAGCCAAATAAAAGTTGGCAAGAACTTTGCTACATTTTGGACCTAAGATCAAGGCATAAAATATTACATTAAGCTCCACACTATCAAAATGGAACTGAAATAAATAAGAGACAAGTGTTAGCTAAAGGACGAGAAACGATGAGACCATTAGAGGTTAACGAAAGAGTTAGGTAAGAGGTGCTACATTTTGGTTGAGTTCCAATAATCAAGAAGTACCGATACTTTAAAGTTCCTGATAGAAATAGCAGTGTTGAAATACTTACTTTCAACTTTTGATGTATATGAAGTCACAGCTTTATACGACGAAGGAGACACAGCATGCTCTCTCTGCTGAAGACTACATCCTGCATTTTTCGAAGTTGACGAAGATGTCACACTTTCTGTTTTAGAAGTTCCAGGCAATGGTTTACAGGGTTCTTTTTCAGAATGAAATAATACAGAACCATTCTTACAACGGTCAAATACCATACCATCTGAATAGTTCTGAAGTGCCAGTTTCCCATTGAACGTCTTTAAAAAAGTTGTACTTTTCTTCGGTTCATGAACACTTCTTTCATCTAACTCCTGAGATTTAAAAGATGATGTTATTGAAACATGATTCTTATGTGACATTTCTTCTTTAATGATGCTAGAAGTCCTATTGATGGAAGCTGAATTTAATGTATTTACATGCTGTGCATTTTTTTCATTGGTATTTTCAAGCTCTGTTATTTCCTTTTTCTTAACAGAAGAGTTTAAACTATTTAAAGGCTCTATAATTTTTTCATCAGGAGTTCTTTTGTTTACAAAAGAAATTAATTTTTGCTCAGTACATTTTTCATTAGAAATACTATTGATAGCAGAATCATTACGTTCTACATTTTTTTCACAAGAAATTCTATTTACAGGTAGTGAATTTAATACATTGGATTTTTCTGTACTTTTCTCACAAGTTCTATTAATAGATACAAAATTTGACTTGTCAATTTGTTCTGTACTTTTCTCAGAGAACCTGCATGTTTTAAAAGATGGCAAGCGGTGTAATTTTGCCCTATAACGCAAATATTTTACATATTTATTTAAAATTCGTTTTGCAGCATAAATTATTACAGGATTATTCATAAATTTATTGGCTGAATGAATGCTCCGAAGTTTTTTCCACAGCTGTAGTAATTCAGTATGTCTAGTAATTTTACATATGTTTGAATTTTTACTTCCATTACGCAGTCCATTTTTATTATTTGCAGTTTTATTGTACATTTTACCAAGTTTGTGCTCCAAATAATTATCAGGAGTGTGGTTTAAAATACCTTCATTTTCTTTACTGCTTCCAGCAAGATTCTCATTTTGCAGGACTATGCATGGTTCTAACACAGGTGGACCCTCATCTAAAAATGACCTTTTATCTGGTATCTGACTTTCTTTAACAGAAGTTAAAAGAGGCAAGCCACATTGTTCATCATAGCAAGTGGAAACTACCACTTCAGCCCCTACCTCTCGAAAGCATGCATCAATAGTCCTAATTCCTTCTTCTGCTATATCAAAAAATGTAGGAGTAACAGAATAGTCCAAAACACTACCCGAACTAGAATGACATTTGAAGTCAAAATCCAAGAAATTTTTTGCAATTAGTTCCATAGTGTTTCCTGAAACGACTGAGTCATCAGATGCACAAGAAAGCTGAGCATCATCAAGACATTCAATTTTGTTCGTTGTCTTTACAAGTTTATCACAGATTGCTTCAGATGTCTTGGAACAGGAAATTTCACTAGGACTTGAATCATCTTGCGAACTGACATGAGACACAAAATTTTCTTTTATAAATGATTTCGTTCCATCAGAATCAGTAAGCACATTCTCTGACGGACGTAAATTTGAGGATAAACACTTTTTGGTTTTTTGCTGACTTTTAGAAACAGAAGAATCAGTGACAGCAGCATCACTTTTAGCATGGGTTATATGAACACCAGGTGAGCTTATTTCATTTTTATGATTACTGTCAGGGTTGGGAGTTTCAGAAGTAGAATTTTCAGAAGGAACTTTATCATTTGCTATATTTTGTTTACTTTTTACATTACCTTTTGATTTTCTGTGAGGTTTAGAAGTGCTAGGCTTAGAAGGAGATCTCCCAAAAGCAGAGCAAGACGCAGCTTGTCGTATATTAATTTGTCTAAGAATATTATCAGGAGAAAAGTTTTTGGCCCATTCGATTTCATGCAAAGAATCGTATAACTTTTCCACTTCTGATCTACGTTTTCTCCCACTTTCCGATTTTGATGATACATTTTTTCCAAAAGTCATGTTATGCATTTCTTTTGAAGAATTCTCCTGCATACAAGTTTTTACTTTTGTACTAGAAATTACTGTTTCCTCTTTTACTCTCTTTAGACGAATTTCTTTATAACGTCTAACAACTAAAGTTGTACATGTAGCAGTGCAATCACAACTACATGTTTTCTTTCTGATATTTCTCCTGAGATTATGACGCAATGGTAATACAGAATCAGAATTACCAGAACAGGACACTTTTTCCTTCTGTGAAATTACATTATTAGATTTAATGTCTGAACAAGCCAAAAGACAAGCATCACTGTCCCTCACTTCTAAATTTCTTATAGGATTATTTGTTAATAATTTAGGTGATATTGTTAAAGAACATCTTTTCACATCTTTATCACTGAGACAAGACATGTTACTCGAAACAGATGATCCAGATGAATGCCTGGTCCGTTTCGATATGTCGGAATGATATTCATTCCCTACACGTTTTCCCACATGTATATTAGAACTTTGGATATGACGGCTACTGCAATATACAGCGGAGTCATTCGAACAAGATGACACTGAACTGCTTCTTGACCAAGCTGGCTGACCATCAGAGATTCTATGATCAAATGACAGTGAGGACGAAAAGTTCACTTTTATTTTCTGTGGATTTTTATCCATGTTTTGCTTAATACATACAGGATACAGAAAGAAGTCACTGAAAAAAGTCATCAATGTCATCCTGAACCACTACATCCATCGCGAAATATGTAATCTTTTAAAATGCAGGCATCTGTAAAATATTAAAAAATTACTTCCTGCATGCATTAGGAAAAACTATATCATAAACAAAATATTTTGGACATACAGATAAAGATGTTAATAACATATATGAATTACTATATTTACTCAAAAATAAGACCCACCTAATATCTTAAGATATATTTTGAGAAATTAAAATGTTGATGAATATTTGACGACAGCAGCAGTAATTCAAATTAGAATGAAAGGCTAACTACCTAATTAAATGCAATATTTTACTATGGTATAGAAAACAAAAGTTACATAAGTTATTACGTATTTATTTTCAGACAGATCAGCAACTTCCGTCACTCCGCCTCTTCTGTAATTGTGGACACAAGATTTTTTATCAAGACTTCAACAAGGCATAACTTACAGAAGCTATTAGAGGTGCCAAGAGTGGCCAGAGCTCAGGTCCAGATAATTTCCACTCCGATTTCCTGAGGCACTTTGGCAGAAATGCACTCTCTGTATTATCGGAGCTCTACAACTACAGTTTCCAGCAATTTGCAAAAAAATCATCATCCCTATATTTAAAAGTAATATAATAAACCTCCGGATAATTTAATTAGCTATCGACCCATTTTTTTTAACTAGTGTTTTATCCAAGGTCATGGAAAGAATGATTGCATCTCGTCTGAGTTGGTTTTTTGAGTCTAATAACCTTATATCTCTTACTCAGGCCAGATTTAGAAAATGGATGTCCACAAACCAACAGGTTATCTTGCCGAGACAGTCCACAAAGGATGCTCTTGATCAGAGATGCTCTGTTTTGACTGTGTTTGTAGGCTTTTGATAACATTTGGCGACTCAAATATATCCAGAAATTACAAAACCTGTGTGTATGCAGAAATATGCTTGCTCTCTTAGATCATGAGTTTTCTTTCACAATGTTTCTCTACCACTCGTTTTGGTGATTCTGTGTCCAACTTTCAACAAAGTGAAACTGGCTTATCACAGGGCACTGTGATCAGCCCTATTTTATTTAACCCGTTCAAGACCAACATCGCGTACACGCAACGCAAAGATTCCACTCCTACCAGCCCAGCGCCCCGTATACGAGATGCAACGATTCTGCTCCTACGAGCCCAGCATCGTGTATACGTGACATTAAAACGGAGCGATTTATTTGAATTTTTAAGAGCCAGTAAATGGAGCTAAGTGATAATTGTTTTCACACGGGTTGATTCATACGGCATTTGACATTCATGTACTAGCATTAGTTTCTGTTTTGTGGTTCTGGTTTTGAGAGATTAATTGAAATAAACAAACTGGAAATCATGGCTCTTTATAAATGCGCCTGTGAATTAAAGGAGCACAGCTGTTATTGTTTATTTCGTTAGGATTTTCTTTTCTTTTTTTTCCTTCTACACTGGTTAACATAAATTAAGGAAAAATCACGATTACTGAAAAAGTTACATGTAGAATTTTATGAAACTTACCCACAATATACAACACACACTAAGGTATCAAATAAAAAGAAATTACCAGACAATTATGGTAGTATAGAAATTAGCACATGTATAAAATGAACAAATCGAAGGTGTCAGTTTGCTATAGTAAAAGTACCTTCAATATGGAATATAATCACCTCTAGAAACAATACAGCACATTCAGCGATGTATGATGCTTTCAATTATGTGATCTATCAGTTCCATAGGAAGCGAGAGCCATTGCTCTTGCAAAGCAGTTACAAGCGTGGCTAGGGTCTACGGGGGTGGATTGAGAGCGACTAGACGTCTCCCTAAAGCATCCCAAACGTGCTCGATAGGATTCAATTTCGGGGACTGAGCTGGCTACTCCATGTGCATAATTGTTTCCTGTTGAAGATAATCATATACAATGCAAGCCCTGTGTGGTTTTGCATAGTCTTCCTGTAACAGGAAAGCATCACCTATTGCCCCGGCATATGGGCGCACATAAGCATCAAGGATGTCATCTCTATAAACATGAGTATTCACGGTTCCCCTTGGAAAAACATGGAGGGCTGTGCGTCCACCCAAAGAGATGCCACCCCAGACACAGACACTGCCTCTTCCATATGCTTCTCTTTCACAGATGTTTGACGGATGATAACGGGTTCCAGGTTCTCTCCATATCAAATAACGCCTACTATCACGTTCTAGACTAAACCTGGACTCATCCGTAAAAAAAACAGCCCTCCATTGCTCAGATGTCCAGTGGACATTTTGTCGTGCCCACTACAAACGGTCTTTCCTATGGCATGACTTGAGCGGCACGCAAATGTTCTTCGCCTCGCATACAGACCACCTTCAATGAAACCTTCTACGCACAGTTGACGTTGACACCAACCTTCCGGTGGCTGCAGCAAGGAAAGATCTAAGAAGAGTCGGGAGTAGCGGTTCTATTCCTGAGTGCACATAATGTCAAATATCGGTCATCGGCGCTCGTCATAGCAGTCTTCCTTGGCCGCCCTTGGCTGAACCCCCTAGGTGCCGAATCTGTGATTTGAAATTGCCTCCAAAGTCTATGAACCCCAGAAAGACTCACATTTAGCCATCTGGCCACTTCTGTTTGACTTTGTCCTGCCTCTAGTCTCCCATAGGCTTTCTATCATAGTTCTGAAGGCAAATGATGCCTGGAGATCATTGTCACGAATTGGCTATCTCAGATTTCTGATGTCACTATCACAGTGAAATATGTGGGCTTGCTCTCAAACATGGGCTTTTATGCTCCTCGCAGATGTTGCACCATATTGGAATTTTACTCAGCTACTCTTACTTGGCACCATATTCAAATTTTACACGGTTTGGCTTATTTTTGAGGGAGTTATCGGTATTTTTGTGATTTTTCCTTAATTTATAATAACCAGTATATTAATTTTGATACTTAACATAAGCTTTCTTGGTTAATTAAAAAGTAACATTATTACAGAAGGGAAAAGACTATCAGCTTCCTCCACGCGTAATGCGCCTTGCTCGCATTTCTCAGGAAAAAGGTCATTATGTATAATGACACAGCGGTTATAGTTTGGAATATAATATATTTACTTTACATATAATGTAATTATATATAATGTATATATTAACGTGATCAGTAACAGATATTCCGCCAGTTGGAGGGGGTCTTTCCTTGATCACTTTCCAGTCATCGTGGACGCTGTTTTCGATTTAGAAAAACAGGAAGTTATCTAACAATCTAATTAATATACATCAGGTTTATACCTGATGTCACAGAGGGTATGAGGATGAAATATTCCTGAGTGTCTTTTGAAGAAGTTTTGGAACATTTGTTGGGTTATATTCATTTTCATTCTGTTAGCCATGGCTAGGAGACTGTACTTAAAAATTTGTCCAAAATCACCAGACACTATACCTTTCTGTCTAACTGGAAGACAATTTACATTGACGGAAAAGTAATAAAGGTAGGAGAAGATGCGTTGTGCGTGCTAAAACCAAGGAAAAGCGTAAGCAAACAACGTATTTTGAGTGCAAAATATGCAATGCAAAACTGTGTGTCGATCCTTGTTTTGAGTTATTTCACACACAGCAGAATTTTTAAATTGGAATTTAGTTACCTAAATTTTTTTTCATGTTTATAGTATTTATTTCTGCGTGTATAGTATGATTTTAGTATTTTGCCTGTTTAATTTATTTCTATTAATGTGATATTTTTTATATTAATATACATTAAATATGCAACTTCAAAAATTGAAGTCATAATATCAAAATGCTGGTTTTATACCTTTTTTTTTTGGTAAAATTAGGCTTAACTGCTGAAAATGCGCAGGCCGATGGCAACGACCCACTTTAGTCCCATGACTGTGCTTCGTTCTCCTGGTGCTGGTCCTTAAGAGGTTAATGTCTTTATTGATGACCTACTAAGTAGCTTGACTTCTGATGAACTGACTAACGCTGCCTTTTCTGCGGACAACTTTCAACAAAGTGAAACTGGCTTATCACAGGGCACTGTGATCAGCCTTATTTTATTTAATATCTTTATTGTGATCTACCAAGTATCTTGACTTCTGATGAACTAACGCTGTCCTTTCTGCAGACAATCTTGCTATTTGCTGCTATGCATCTAAAGGTGGTCAATCCAAGCTAAATACTATCCTGAATAAGTCTCCCTAGAAACTGGAGAGCTGGAGTTTGGAGAATAATAGGACTATAAACTTGGGGAAGACTACTAATCAGTATATTACTTTAGACAGCCTTTCACTTCCGATCTTGTTTACAGAGGTTCTTCTTTACAGCATAATGATGTTTCAATTTATCTGGGTTGCATCTTTGTTAACAAACTGAAATGGGCTAAGCATGCTGAATACGTCATCTCAAAAGCTAGGAGACTCTCCATTCTTAAGAGACTAGCTGGTGTTAAATGGGGATGTGGCAGAGCTACCTTTGACTCTACTTATAAGACTTATGTCCAGCCAGTTTTAAATTATTGCAATGAAGTGCTTTTCGCTGCCTGAAGTAGAATCTTGGGAATGTCTGAAGTTTTTCAAAACTAGGTTTCATGCTTGTTCACTAGAAGTGTTAAAACTACTCCTGTACTATATTTGCTTTGTGACCTACAGCCAATGACTAACCTGGTTCGGAGGAATGCAGCTATCCTTTATAACACACTTATTAGACCCCCAAATATTTCTTTTTGGCGTGAATACGATTTTAACATAGTATGTCAACTAAAAACTCAGAAGGGCTTCATTCAATGCATCCAGGAGAATGCTCAATATAATGCAAATTAACGAAATCACTAACGAATTATTATCTCATATAAATAGACTGGAGTTTATGGTTCACGATGTCAGATTGGACTTTGAATGTGAGGAAAAACGACTTATGCCCAACGGCTCTTCGTGCAATCGCATTGGAAACTACTAATACTCGATATCATCATACTGAGTGGCTTCATATCTACAATGATGGTTCCCTTTCAGATTTCTCCCAGGGCGCTGGTGCTGGCATCTTCTGTGATCTGTTTCCCTTTTACGTACATGTTGGCTCTCATACGACACATTTTGATGGTGAAGTCAAGGCCATCCATTTAGCTCTTCAACAGCTTTCTGCCTGTTTCTCTCTTGTTGATAAGGCTGCAATTTTATTGGACTTAAGTTCTGCTCTTCAGGCCTTAGCGAATAACTTATAAAAACAGAGTGCTCATACCCAGAGCTGCATGGAGTTGTTGAGCAGAATTCAGACAAAGATTGCTTTCCAGAGAATGCCATCACATTGTGGCCTTTGGAGAGAGAAATGAGATGGTAGACCTGGCAAAAAAAAAAGTATGGATCTGCTACAAAGTCTTCCAGAGACCTATCTCTTCACTCCGCTAAAATTAAATTAATAGAATTTATAAAAAATCCTTTCGTAATGCTGCAGATAGTGCTTCTGAAAATAAATCATGGAGGGTGCTATTGAAAGCTGACTGTGTCTCAGACTCCCCTCATGCTAATGCTGTGGCTGAGTGTAGACTACTGACTGGACATGACTGCCTTGGTGCTCTTTTGTTTCATTTTAATCCGACTTCCTCACCTTTATGTGCTTTGTGTGATTCTGAACAAGTCATGGACGCTGCTCATCTGGACATGTGCTCTGCACTTAAAAGAGTTTGGACAGCTCGTTGCCTGATGACCTGATGGTCTACGGCCAGGCATTTAATAAAATAAAATGTTCAAGTAAATATAGTAGATGTTATTTTTCAACAATTTGTTTGATAATGAATACAAATAATAACTTCATTTTCTAAGTTTAAAACAGAAACAAGTAAACATAAAGGGCAATGACATTAATTTTGAAGAAATTAAAACAATTTGACATTATTTATGGAACTTTTGTTTATAGGGGATAATTCTTCAGATTTAGTCAAATAATAATGATAAACAGACAAAACTAATTTGATTTTGCATTACAATGCCCCCAAATTCACAAATTAAACTACAAACACCAAAGAGATACAGAAAATTGAAGAAAATGTTAATTAAGAAAATTATCTAATTTTTCCAACTTTTTATGATTATGGACGTAAGTGTTTGGTTTAGCATAATTACCTGTATCAATTCTCAAGCTAGATTTCATTAAATTTGTACAAAATTTAGAAAAGAAATTCATCTGACATATTTTTGAGTCAAAATACTGCTTTTTATGAAATAGTTTTAGCCAGTAATAACTTCACTAAAAATCTTTGTCTTCAAGGGACAATTTAAGTTATACTTTGGAGCAATAACTTTGTTGTATATATCTGTAAGTATTTACATCTTTTTTTATTGCATTGTATTGTAGTATTTTGCATTTATTTAGTTATTTATATACTTTTATTTTTGGGCAATATATTTATGTAAGATAAATAATTTAAATTAACACCCTTAATACTTAATTTGATATTCCCCCTCTCTATTTTAAAAATAGTAACCTTTTTCTGCACTGTGTTATTTAGAGACTAATCCACGTACATAACACTGATGATGTAAATGGAATAAAAACATAAACATCCAATAATAATTTTACAGCAGTATATATTATTCAATCAAATGCACTGAGAACAAAAATAAACTCATTATTCTGAATTAAGATTTCATCCTGAACACAGCTGCACTTGTTTTCTATTCGCACTTCAGTTTAGCTGGACTGCCGCATGCTGTTCTCTTCTTACTACAAAACTATCAAAAATGTTAACATTTTGAAATACACACAAGCAGTGTGCCAAGTTGTTAATGGCCACAACATGTTTACTGAAATGAAAATAAAGATTTGTTTGGTTCATTACAATGAGTCAGCAGGATTTTAAACTGTGTGGGGAAACCCCAATGATTTTGAGTAAAAACATCCATAAGACCCTGAAAGTTTTATCATCTAAGATGTGTTGATTCCGTGAGCAGTTACTATTGAGGACTGAGTGCAAGTTTCAAAAGGGAAGTTTGTCAGCATAAAGTTATGTCTCTCAAGCGCTGGGTGAGAAATTTTCCGTGTTTTGAATAGATGTCTAAAATTGTGCTCCTCAGTCTACAAGCCAAAAAATCATAAAGCATGCATGCCTTATGATTTTTGATTTACTGAGTACTTTCTGTATTTCATAATTTACTGATGATGTTTTAATGTGTTTTGTATTTTTATGTTATTGATTTTAAATGCAAACAAGATTGCAAACAAAATAATCTAAAAATTTTCTGACATGGTTTCTGTGAACAAAGAGAAATTCACATGTCCAGTTTTTGATGGAAGAAAGGATTATCTCTAAAATACTTTGAAAAACACTGTAGTCCAAATTTTCTGAAATAGAAAAATTTGACTTATTTCCAAATTGTCTAAAAGTAGAAGAACTCACATTCTATATTCGCAAGCATGTTGAACACATATTTTTCAAGTTCTGAACATGTTAGTTGATGATTTTGTCTCAGCCACTTACAGTAAATTTAAGGACATGGGTTAAGTATTTTAGACAAAAACTAAAATTAGGATCTGCTTTGAAATTAAGAGACAAAATTCTAATAGCATCATGCCAGAGGTCTAGTGTAGCAACACCATATATTATTGCCTCTTCAAAATTGGATTATGCTATCATGAAAATTATTCCCAACTTCAAACTCACCTGAAGGAACATAAAGCATCAAAACTTAAACAACAGCTCAATCCTTGCATGCTAATGATACTGCCCTGACGTCAACTAAAATAAATCATGCCATCAAAAAGGTGAAGAGCAACATTCTCTCCATCGAGCTATGGTGTAAATTTTGGAAAATCAGAATTAATGCATAGAAATCATACCTCCTACTCATCAGATGGAAAAAATGAAATATGCACATGAAAGATAACTTAAACTTATTTAGCAAAACAGAGTCTATTGTTTCTCAAACCAAACATCTTGATGTTATCATTAATGACAAGCTCATATGGACTAGTCATATAGAGCACGTGAGAAGGAAAGCTCTCAAAGTAATGAAGTGTCTATACCCCAGCATTGAGAAATACTTGCAAGTTAGATCTTGCAAAAAACAGAATTATTTATCTCAACCATGATAAGACCCATCACGATTTACACCTCCCTTGTTTGGGCTGTTGCTATCACCATAGATCTTAATAAACTCAAGGTGGTACAAAATAGACTTTTATGCATCATTACTAATGCTCACTTTCTAGTGCGCACCAACTTCTGAACAACTGACCCTCTGGGAAAGTTTCCATGGATTACAAATCGAAAATCCTTCTGTAGCGTAAAATTGTAAACAAATGAATCCATTTTGACTATTTCACTACATTGATATCTATTTTACAAAATACTAAATGAGGACAAATTCCTTCAACTTCTTGCTGCATTTCTAATTAGTGAAAGCATGGACTTACCTATCTAATTACTATTTTCTCTATACATAATACTTTGCATTTTCAAAAAGTGATGAACTGCAAAATTAAACAGCACTTCCCTGACCCCTAGACTTGGGTGTGTGACCACCCACGTGACAGGACTTTACATGCGGCAAATACAGCCAAAAGTCTTTAATCCGGACTCGTCAGGACTTCGGCGATTCCAGATTATAGATCATCAATTTTAATCTGGTAAGATGGCATGCAGAAATTATAAAATTAAAAATATGAAACTGTAATTTATGAAATAAAGAGCAATTATGATCTAAAGGGTATCACAATTTACAAAAAAAAAAAAAAAAAAAAAAAAAAGCTTAATATTTATTTACTCACTTTATTAAACATTTCTTTCAATGCGTGCATGCATAAAGCATACATTACGCATAGTCGAAATTAGAAAATTGCAACCAGAAAATCATTTGATGTTTATTCATGATACGAGGGCCATCCAGGAAGTAGATTACGTTTCCGTCTGTGTCCGCTAGGGGCGGGGCTAGCGCGGCCATCTTGGGGTCAGAGCGTTGCGCAGCTCAGTCTGCATCTAGCCGTGCTAGTGAGAGGTTCGTGCTGTGCTCCGTTCAGATACTGTGACGGTTTGAAATGTCTGCGTTAATTGAAAATCCCGCGAGCTGCGAGGTGCGCTCAGTAATAAGGTTTCTGACTGCAAAAAACTGTAAACCGATAGAAATCTATCGGCAGCTTCGTGAAGTGTATGGGGACAACATTATCACTGTAGGTGGAGTGCGTCAGTGGGTCATAAGATTTCAAAATGGCCGAACCAATGTTCACGACGAAGATCGAAGTGGGAGACCCAGCATAGTGACCGCCGAACTTCTCGAAAAAGTCGATGCTAAAGTCCGTGAAAATCGAAATTTCACAATAACGGAACTTTCTTTGAGTTTTCCACAAATTTCGCGAAGTTTGTTGCACGAAATCATCAGCGAAAAGCTTGGTTACCACAAGTTTTGTGCAAGATGGAAGGCAAGAAGAGGTAACGAAGTGGTTGAAGGCGCAGGCGGCCGAATTTTTCGACGAAGGAATTTCCAAGCTCGTACATCGCTACGATAAATGCCTTAATTTGTATGGTGACTATGTAGAAAAGTAGTATTTGAGTGTGGCTTTCATCTGTATATAATAAAATTTGTTTCCTATACTTTGTTTATTTTTTTATTCCAAAACGTAATCTACTTTCTGGATAGCCCTCGTATTTATAATGACGAGGAATTTGATTTAAATCATATCAAAACGGAGTACATCGATATGAAATACTACATTTAGTAAGGAATTATAAGCCGAATAAAATAAAAACATATGCCCTGAAGATAAGGATAGTGCTGACAGATCAACTTCCAGTTCATTGCGCCCCGCGATGTCCCCCCCTCCCCCGCAGAGCAGTGTGAAATTGATAAACAGATTTCGGAATGGTTAGAGAAACAAAGGATATGCCTTTATCCATTTTTTGCAGCAATTCCACTTTTTGTTTGATGGACATCGAAACATGCTTTCGTTTTGTGGATCCTTTGGCAGCTCCGGAATCGGAAATTCTTTTTGAGATAATCGAAAGTTCAAGCTTACTTTTATAAAATTGCTCTAACAGCCTGCAAAAAATAATAAGCCGGATTCAGTTAGAAGATTAAGGAACAATGCAATCTGCAACATTAAACGGAAATAGATAATTAGATAATTTTAGCTTAGCTTATACCGTCTGTTATACATTAAACGCACATGCGTCATTATGCGTTTACGCATGTGCATAATACATTTATTTTCTGCACATGCGTAAACGCATAATGCGTTTACGCATGTGCAGAAAGTTTGTAGCTTTGAGGTCCGGATTATAGATCATTCCGGATTATGGACGTCCAGATTAAAGACTTTTGGCTGTATATACACAGTTTTTACATCTATTTGCATCCTTTTAAGTCTTAAACTTGATTTACTTGTTTGTCACCTTACCTGTTTGTGACATTGTAAACAATTATTGCTCTGCATCTATGAATTTGAATAATTTTCATGCACTAGTCAAAAGACTTTACTTTTCGTAAATATGTGTAAAGTATTGATGACAACTGTCTGTACCTTTTCTGTATATTTGTTAAATTGTGTATTTTCAGCCACTCACCCTGGAAATCTCTCAGACAATGAGATGTCTCAGCTCGCACGGTCACGTCTCTAATCACGTCAGTAACGTAAGGCCACGTCTCTCTCCCACACTGTTCTCCTGGACCCATCACTTGATACTTATTCAACTCAAAGAGCCCTCAGAGGCATTTACTTGAAGATAGCAGGAAAACATAGCTGCTATTCAAATATAAAATGAGAATACTGAACTGGCAATATTTTTCATGCTAAAGAGTAATATTTTAATATCCAAGTTCTGCTCAAATTATTTAGAGTGCTGGGTAGAATTAATTTTCAGAATAAATTGTTAATTTCTTCCTGTTTATCTGGAGTCATCATTTAGAGAGAGAACAACAACTCATGTACATATTTAGGAATATATTCCAGTACAATAGGAATATATTGTAGTATTTCAGAATTTCTCTGTGACCTTGATGTAATCTTCACATGCAAAAATTTCTATGACAGTTAGATAGACAAAATCCACAAGGGTCAGACATTTAATCAATAATAATAATAAATTTAAGGACCTTGGGAAAAAAAAAACCTTGTGGGCTATAATGCAGCCTATGGGCCACTACTACTAGTATATACAAAATAATAATAATAATAATAATAATAATAATATAATAAATAAATAAATAAAAAATAATGAACAAGCAGCAGTAAAACTGAGCATGCTGAATTCAACAGAATCCAGAAGTAATGGGTCTTTTCAATCCAAAACCTAAGCAACACAATCATTCTGTATATGTGATTCAAACAGGCAAGATATTAAAGATGAAGTTTCTATAGTCTTAAAACTTGTAAAGAGTTATTTATTTCCAACTAATCAGTTATTTTATGTTCAAAACCTTTACAGTTATTCTCATTTCCTCTTTTCCTGCCAGAATACAAATTTTAGTTCACGCATATTCAAATGACGCAAAATGAGACAGTATTTTTAAAGGAAGGTTAGAATGTTGAATAAGAGTATGCTCCACCTGCTGAAGGCCTCATTACTAGTAAAATCACTTCCACAATTGTGTGAGGTACTGAGTTTATTCTCGCTCAGGTTTGTCACTCTAGTATTAGGTTTGAGACAATTTGTACATTATTTGTTCTGTGTACTATCTGCCTACTTACGACTTAGTTTTAAACTGAATTCATTACTTGGTTAGAGTAGACTTTGTATTATCACGAAACTGCCGTTTCATTTATCGCCAAGTTGTTGTTCCATTTATGGTAACCTGAGTAGTTGAATGTTATGGAAACCCTATTATGACGTAATCGTTTGCATTATTCTGGGAAATTTTGAAGCATGGGATGTTTTGTAAGGGCTTTTGTGGTGTGTGTTGTTAGGAAATAAATTACTTGTTTCATTGCTTAGACAATAGAATGGCTGAATGTAGTAAGATTACTTTGAAGTTTCTGTACGATTTGGAATGAAAGGGGAAAAGTGCATTCATTGACTGGTGTGTGAAGGTTTATTTAGTAGCCATTTTCCGGACAGTCGGGAACTACGTATGATATTTTTGACTCTTATTTTTCTGAATTTATGTGGCGACGCCAATATACGGATTTGAGTTCACATAATTCGAATTCAGATAGGAAGTTTTGGGATGCTGTTAAGGAATTTTGGGTGCCACAGACTGAAGACGCAGGAATTTCTAAATAAGGTAAGTGGATATTTGCTTTGTGTAGTCTTATATGCATAACAGGTGTGTCCTTTTTTATGTTATTTTATCGTTTGGTTTAAAATGTAGTTTATTGAGATTATGTATTTTTTGTCTGCCTCTACTGTAGAATTGGGTGCTCCTTTTACTTTTTAAGTGAAAATATATTGATATGTACATGGACAAACTCAAGGGAGTGTACAATGTCATTTTTGTGCAATTCTGAGATTTTTTTAAAGTGAAAATAGGTCAATGTGTACATGTATAAAGTGAAGGGAGTGCACAATGCCATTTTTGTGCAATTTTGGGATTTTTTATACGTGAAAATAGGTTGATGTGTAGGTGGATACGGAGTTTGTGCAATTCTTTGTCTTGTTATTTTGGCTTTGTGTTGAGGCAATTTGTAGCACAAAAATAGCCACTATGCAAACAAAAATATCAAGTCAAAGAATTGCACAAGCTTGGTATCCATGTGCCGCCAAAAATCGCCAAGGGGTACCATTAAATACACTTTTACCCATTACTTTTTTAGTTATGCCATGGTTTGTAAGTACAAGAAGTGCCCTCTGTCAAATTACTGAGTTTTAATAAAAGGGTCTTTTACATCCTTCTTACACTGTCTGTCTGATTGCTGTACATAGTGATTGATAAGTTGCTTAGGTTTAGCTTCAGTCTTGAAAATAAATCATGCTTCCCAAGAAGTTGAAACTCTTCTCTGGCTCTTGAACAACTGTAAGAACCATGGCTCAAAATTTAATTCTTAGTCTGGCTCCCTCAATGTCTTAAGTTATACCAGCATCAGTTAGTCCCATGAAAGGATTTAGATGCATTGTGAATACCATGCGGGATGCCATAAAACCTGCAGTGACTTTTCATGGCAAAACCTTAGTAATTAACTTTCTTGAGCAGCTAAATTTGCATTTTGTGCTGTATCCAGTGCTAAAAGCACAGAAAATTATAACTGTGCCTTTCAGTTCGTATGAATGCACTGGTCAATTAGTGTTGGGTGAGCTAAAGAGCAACATCTATACTTTTAAGGGATTTAAGACTGTGCTTATTACAGCATTCTTTATTGTAAAAGATAGGGCTAAGATAGAGTCAAAGCTCTTTAGCAAATTTCAGTTAAAACTTAACGAATTAACTAAGTTTATCTTGCGAAAAATTAAAAGTTTTAATTTGTTGTACATGAAGAGGCCTGATGAGATTATACAAATCATCTACCTAGGTTGCTGCCTCAGATAAAAGATTTCTTTAAATTGAGAAAATTATTTGAACTTGCCATAAAATTCTAAAGCAGCCATGTGGTGAAGAAGACAGGCATGGTAGGATATGGCCAGATGCGAAATGGGCAAAGTTTTAGGCCTGCACCTCAACAAAGACCACAGTTTGGTAAGAATAAGTATTTTGACAATAGGAAAAAAGATTCAGCCAAGAGTGGTGGCCACCAAAATGAAGGGCAAAAGAGAAAACGGGGAAAGTAATACGAAAAATATAAATTAGGCAAGGGTACTGAAGATAAGAGAGTACAGTAACCCTGGAGGAAAGAAAATCTATCTTAAATTCAGTTAAATACTGACTGTTTTTTTTTTTTTTTTTTTTTTTTTTTTTTTTTTTTTTTTGGCTTGACAATAGTGCAGATATTGCTAAATAATGTTCCTGCAGATGCACTGATAGCTACTGAAACTCAACATAATTTTCTTTCAGGAATTTTTTCTGTAAATACTTTAAAAGGTATAGGTAGATTATTCAATACAGCATGTATGAGCCAAAATTATTGCCACTCAAGGCAAGCAGTGCACATGCGTACATAAGGTAAGCAGTGCACATGCGTACATAAGGTAAGCAGTGCACATGCATATATAAGGTAGCATTGTACATGCAGGTTAAAAATTAACAACAAAAGGTCATACTCCTTGATATGAAAATCTCCAAACAATAATTTTAGGTATGGATTTTTTAAAAACAGCTGGTGCCAAATTAAATGTTCAATAACCTATTTTACAGCCAGATATAAAGAAAATGGATATAAGGTCTGGGTGCAGAAGAAAAGGGCAAAGCTGGAAAATTTGGAAATTCAGTTTTCTACCTTATTTGACAAGCAACTAGGCCACACTCAGATTGTGGTACTGTAAGCCATAGTATTGATACCAGTAACACGGCCCTATAAGAGCAGAGCCATATCCCTACAATAACGTGAAAGAACAGATAATAGAAGATCACATTCAGGAAATGCTAAAAAATAAAATTATGATGCCAATAAGTAGCTCTTATGCTAGCCCCATCATGCTCTAGAAGAAGAAAAATAATCTCCAACCAACTAACTTTAAAGCGTGGCATTTTGCAGTTGATTAATGAAAACTTAACTAAACTAAGTAACCTGCCTATTCCCATCCCATTACTGAAAAGATTATTTGTAAGATTAAATCGACAAAGTTCACGACAACTTCAGATCTAACATTTGGATATTTCTTTAGGTTAAAGCCAGAAGACACAACTGAAAACCACATTTATTAGAAAGTCAGCATTTTTGTTCTACAAATGCTGTTTGGCTTATGTGGATTTTTTCAGCAGACATCATTTTGCCACCTGTTATCAGCAACCTGTTATCAGTTATTTTTGCCACCTGTTATCAGTTATTTATGGAGAAAATAAAGTACATTATAATAATTATTAGCAAAATGAGTGATGAACACACTAAAGACTAACACGAAGTATTTTCGCCTCTGAATGAAGCAGGATTAAAAGTAAATGCCTCCAAGTGCAAATATCAGGGTTCGTACGCTTTTCTGCACATGGAAATTAAGTACTTTTAAGGACTTTTAAGGACCATTAATGAAAAAATTAAGGACCTATGAGCAAATGAGAACTGGACAAATTCAATTAAAAATACTATCCGTGCCTGAACTTCATTTTTGTAATACCGTCCTAAACATAAAAGTAGGATGCATTACTATTAAACATAACTTTATTAACATAATTATTAATAAGTTATAGAATAAAATGAAACTTTATGAAATTTATCAAGTAGCATTAAATATTTTACACTTATAATAGTAGTTGGACATATTAGAAAGAAGATAAGTGACATTTTATTTACGTTTTACTAACAGTTAGACTTATTAAGATTGTTGATTTACTTCTAAATTAATAGTTAGCTTTAATGTTGATATTTTTTTGTCTCATTTTGGACAGGAACTAATGCAGCAAGTATGCGGAAAACAAAAACACACTCTATCTTACACTCCATACACCTCAGTTTAAAAACTATCTAAGTGATTTTCATTTTAGAATTTAAATTAAAGATTTCTGTTATTCTAAAAACACTAAATTTAGAAAGCATAGAAAAAGCTGCTAATTTTATATCTTTAGTAATATGAACATTCAGAAGCAATATGAAATATATAGGTAAGGGCTGGTTACAGAGACGGTGTGGCAGAATTTTTAGAATTTAGTGACACACCAAGCAACAAAATCTAGAAATGGCAAAACTTTTAGAATTTAGAGCAAGGCATTAGGCAGCAGAATTTAGGATCCCGCAGAGATTGCATTCAGGTGGGAAATCAGGTAGCGGCCAGGCCTGTGTATGATGCATTCAGATATATAAGATGAATCATTTTACATTGTCAGTTTTCAATTTCTTTACATAAGACAGAAAATTTCCTTTCTATAAATGCCTGTCCTATGTGATAAGATTGGAAAGAATTTTTGATATTTTCCATGTCTGTGTATCTAGTGAAAAGTAGAGAAAATTAAAGGGAAAGATATACGTGTTAAGAAAAAGACTTCTAGTATCAGAATTTAAAACATTCAAATATTATGTTTTCTTTGTTCTTCCAGAAAATTCTCCAAAAAGTATGAAATACATTGCACAAACTTTCCTGCAAAATAAAATACGGTTTTTATGTGTTACGTGTCTAATAGCATGGAGAATTTTCATTTTGTCAATTATTTTTCTAGGAATCTTCGTGTCTATAAATTTTGCCTTCAAATCCTTCTAAACTTTCTAAAGCTTGCAATGTCTAAAATTCTAAAGAAAAATTCTGTAACAGTAAAAAGCCTGAAATATTTTGAGAAAAAAATATCAGAGGGAAAAGATGTAAAATTAATTTTATAGAGAAAACTGAATATTCTGATAATTTCAATACTCTGAGACAATTACATTGGAAAAACTCTTACCATGAAAAAATTTAAAAGACAATTTAAATTATTACATAGCTATTTTGCTTTTTGCTAAAACGTTTCGTTATATACCTTGCTTATTTTGCAGATTCAAAATATTGTATAATAAGTGCCCAAAATGAAACTTTATAATATGACAGCGAAAATTAAAAACTTTTTATTTTAATGTTATTTTTTAAACATAATTTCAATATTTTACCACTATTTTAATGAAAATTATCCATGTTACGATGCTTTAAAAAAATGTCGAAAAATTCCCAGATCTCGAAATTAAAAATTTTCTACAGAAACTGATCTGAAAATCGCCAAAATGCTGATAAGTCGCCGAATTCAGAGTCGTTTAATAAAAGAATTCACATCGCGAAAAGCCAAAAGTTGTTTAAGAGCTCTTCATTAGAAAAAATTAAATCATTTCAAAATACTTATGTTGCACTTCTTTTACTATAAAACTCGAAAATCCCACGATTTATATTAGAAATAGGAACGAATTATAACTCATTCACCCATTCAAAAGATAACCATATCTGCCAGTTGAATCGCCAAAAATATTCCTCCAAAATGCTAATTCACACTCAAAATGGCAGTCGTAAAAAACAGACGGTTATTTCCGATGATTAAAATTAAATACCTTCTGCCGATTTTGGCCGAAATTAAGGACTTTTAAGGACCAAAAATCGATTCCAAAATACTTAAGGACTTTTAAGGACTCTTAAGGACCGTACGAACCCTGAAATATGCAGCTAAAAAACTTCCGTTATTTAGGATATAAAATATCAAAGAAAGGTATTGAGTCTAAAAACTCTAAAATAATAAGATAAAAAATTATTTTGCATCTAATACTACAAAGAAGTTACCTTTATTCTTGGGCATGCATTAATATTATTGGGCTTTCATTAAGGACTTTGCTAAAATGGCTGAGGGCTTGTTACAATTGAAACAAAAAAAGTCCAACTTACATTATCAGCAGAGATCAATATTGCTTTCAAACAACTGAAACAAGTATTAATTTAAGTATCGATATTAATGTTTTCTAAAGGCGATGAAAATCTGGAGATACGCAGTGGATGCTATACTAACGCAAAAAGGTCAAACGGTTGCATACTTTAGTAAAACCTTCAAAGATGATTATTTACTTATGGATCATATTAACATTGGTAGTGAAGATGAAAAGAATTAGTGATGTGTCTGAAAATAAAATGGGAAGAAAATGACAAATTTTTCAGTTCTCCAATAATGATAATTTTTAAATTCATAAGATTTGTCATTTCTTTTAAACAGCATTTAGGTGCACAGAGAAATCTAAATTTTATAGGTTCATCTTATCCTTCATCTGCAAATCAATCATTTTTACATCTGGCATATAACGTGCATCTGTAAATTTCAAAGGAATTCCATGTGTCTCATATAATGAAAAAACAGAAATTTTTAAATAAGGTAAGTTGATATTTTCTTTTAGTATTGAGTAGATTGTATAACATGTATTTTTATTCTTGTTATTTATTTCCTCATTTAGTTTAAAATGCAGTTTATTGAGATTACATATTTCTTGTTTTAATTATGTTTTATTGCATTATGTTTCGGACGCCATTTGACTGGGGAAGGCATTAGACGTACACAGGAATGGCACAAAAAAATCTCCAAAGAGTATCCTGAAATATATTTATATCCAAATAGTATAACAAAAGCATTATAAGCTAAAACTACCATATTTTGTAATGTTGCAAGGATGATGCTGATATATATTATTGCATAAATGTGCTTAATTGAACTGAGCATTGACATTCATGCTCAGACAAAGCTCTAATGTAGGACCAAATTTAGAAAGGTATGTATATCTATACATATATGGATGAATATATTTGTGAATATATGTGGTGTATGTACATATGTGCATACATATATATATGTATGCACATATGTACTTGTGTTTATACGAACACATATATGAACATAAACACATGCATCTATACATACATTTCTTAATCCAATCCCAATAACATAAGAGCACCCAAAAATGTGGACAAGAGAAGTGTGTTCTGATTTCAATACAAATTGTCTGAATGTACATGCATATATTTACAATATTCGGCTCTACTCTTATATGTACCCTAAGATCACCAAATGTGGTGATATGTGTTCTGAGCTGGTTTTTGGCACAATTGCGTGTTGTATGGTAACCCTTTTCACATTGAATACTCTTTTGCTGGAGTGTTTTAATTGTTCGTTGGTTTGCGTTTTGAAATGGCATAAGTTGCAATGAGAGACGTGGTTGCAAGAGAGTCTGGGAGATTATTTTTGGTGGCTGTGCATGATAGAAGTAAGGAAACACTAATGCAGTGTATTAAAGAGTGGACTGACCCTTGTACAACTATTTTTTGGATGGCTGGAAATCTTACAAGGATTTAGGAAAAGAAGGTTTTGAAGATTTGTGAACCATAGTATGAATTTTCTGGATAGTGCGTCTGGCTGTCACATAAATACGATAGTGATTACGTGGCGGCTTGAAATTGGTATTCTGCCGCTCGAAAAAGTATTTATTCACAGTAAGTGCATTTTATTTTATTCTTGTTCTTATTTTGTAGAATGTTATATTCATTATTGTTTTGTATGAACTTCTGTCCTTGTTTTTTTTTTTTAATTGTTTGAAATCAATTTTAGTTTATTTTGTTGATTAGTGCGTAGTGCCTAGATTGTGCAATTCAGAGGTGTTTTTTTTAAGTTGAAACTGAAGCTCTGTACATGGTATTCTTTGAAATTTATTATGTTAATTTATTAAAGCGAAGTGTTCGTAGATTCTGTCGCTGCCTAGATTGTGCAATTCGTAGATATTTTTTAAAGTTGAAACAAAACGCTGTGTACGTGGTATTCTTTGAAAATTATTGTTGTTTTGTTAATTTATTAAAACGAGGTGTGCGTGGTTCGTAGATTCTTTCGCTGCCTAGATTACACAATTTGTAGATTTTTTTAAGTTAAAATACATTACTGTGCACATGATTCTAGTCAAATACTTTTGGTTAGAAACTTTACGTTTTTGCTATCTAAATTTTTTGTTTTTGTTTCGGATTTTTAGCTTAAATTGTGTGTTCAAAACGTGGTTTATGCATGTGCGCATTTTTGGGGACAATTTAGGCTTAAAGTTCGAAATGTAGACAAAAAATTTAGATAGTAATATGGCACTATGGAGTTTCTCGCAAAAATATTTGGCGACTTGAGGGCACACATAAGAGTAGTTCTCAATATTCATTTGAAAAATTGATAATAGACAGAAGTATAACATAGATAAAAAACCAAAAATCTTGGTTAACAGTAAGGTCAAAAATAAGTATACAACAATTTGATACTGACTCAAACTATATATTAACTTACCTATCTACATCAATGCTGCAGTACTCCACTACAGAGTCAAAATTATGCCCATCTCAATACAAATTCACAGGCACTTTCATCTTAATGAGCTTTGAAATACCTGCAAAATAAATAAAACTGAAGGAAAAAATCTAGTAACAATCATTTAAATATAGTTAACAGAAGAAAAACACTTTAAAAAATGAATAATCTGAGAGTATGATATTAATGACAACAAACACAAATGTTCACGCAAAACACGAAAGCTTCAAAACTGTAAGTGCTTCCTGTACCATATTTATGATGAACTACAAAAGATCAATATTTTAATATCAAACAAAAATTTGTTTAAGCATCATCTAATATAAATAACACCCTAATAAATATTAATTAATTCAATTTAACAGAGATATTTGATTTATAAGGAAAACCGATCTTACAAATATAATTATGGTTTTAGGAATTCAGCCCTTTTGAAACGCAACACATACAATCTAGCTACGACACAGCTTCTCGATTCAATTTTGCGTAACTGCCGACACAATGAATGATTACATTATATGATACAACCGATTGTCACAGAGAAAGTCAATGATTTAATTAACATTACACCTGAGAAATAGTTTAAATCAGGTTAAAACCATTCATTATACAATATTTAACATTCACTTTGTACATGATGGCAATTTGTTGCCAGATGGATGGCAATAACCACAGGCATTTCTGACATATCAGATATACCTTCAAATACAACAAAAAAAGAAAGCATGAAAACTACTTTTACAATAATGAATTAATATATATATATATATATATATATATATATATATATTAAATATGTAAGATCTGTTTGATAGTCTAGAGTACTTAGAAAAGACTCTGACTAATCTCAAGCGTTGATTTTACTTTTAAGCTTCAGATTTCTCTTCTACTCTTTCTCCTGTAGAAGTTATTAGTTTCCCTCTGAATTTAGAATATGCATTTAAATTTTAGCACTGAACAAATCACACTTAACATTGTTTCTGTGGTGTTCTTATCTCAGTATTAGCACACGCATATAGCTAAAAATTGCGTTTCAATAAATATAATGTCAGCTAAGGATTACCGTTAGTAACGACATTCTAAAGGTAGCTTCGGTATAAATAAGACATTTATATATTTTCTATAGCTGATGAAATAGTAGAGGCGTAAATAACTCTGGAGCTGAAAATGGCTTTTCCTTCTAAAACTGGTTATTTTTGTTTTCATGTCATGTTTAACTTTAATTTTAAAACCCATATGTTACTATTCTAAATTACAATTATTACTTCCCCAAATAATCCTGCAACAACTTCAAAATCAGATATTATACCTATTTTTGCATTTCTATAAAATCATCTCTTTTTTTATCTTTCTCTTTTAAGCCTTACACGAGTGCAAATATAAAACATGATTACAGACAGTATAATTATATATATATTAATAATACTCAGTCAAATTTTATAAAATTTGATAAAGATCATTGTTCAAAATATAATAATAATAATAAATAAGCCGTGCCTCTTTCTTGGCATACTTTATGGAGGATGTCTTCGATGGACGTTTTTAATTTACGGACAGAACATATTTTAAGAAACTTGAATCTCTATATCATTCCCTTAGGGAAAATGTTGTTTGCAACAGATATGTCAGTCTTGCAGCGGACGTATGTTAATGTCACTTCTTGTTTGTATTAGACTTGTACCGCTATCTACAACTGGTATTGTGAACCAATTGTTCCCGATCTTTTCTTTTCGGTGATGTTTGCCAATAAAGAGCTCCTGCGCAGTAGACGTTCATCTCGATTGCTGTTGCCGGTGAGGAAAGAACACGTTACGTATTGTTCTGAATCATGGCAGTTCTGAGTCATGACAGTCTGAATCATGGAACTCCCAAAACAGCTGTCTTGAAGTGACCCGCAAATATCGCGTCTTCAGTGGCGTAGCGACGGGGGGGCAAGGGGGTGCATGATGCCCCGGGCGCTGCTCCTAGAGGGGCGCCAAATGGTTTCCAAACAATACTTTCCGGAAAATTTCAGTTTTTATTTTGATCGATTTCTGGAAAATATATTTAAAATTAATAACTATTGTAATATAATTAATTATTTATTTTCTTGATTTGTCTGATAAGATGTGTAATAAAATGTTTGCAGTACATCAACCAAAACAAAACGTTCTTTCTGACCATTTTATTTCTCCAAAGTTAGAGATATATTTTTATTTTTTTTAAACGAAATGCAACGTATATCTCCCGCTTTTTATTTTAAAACGATAACACGACCTTGTCCCGAATTTCTCAAACATATCCAGTTTCCAAAATCCGATTCCATAATCTGGAAATAACATTTTTTGAAAATCCTAACGCTTCCGCTACAATGGATTGCGTTTGACTCTGCTGTAAAGGACTGATGGCCTTCCAGTCTACCGATTCAACTAAGTCATCTTGCTAAAACATCGGACTGACTGCTACAAACAGTCAACTCTTTTTCAATTGTTGCCCACCAGCGGCCGAGCGGTAAAGTCGCTGAACACTGGTAGTTCGGTCCGAGGTTCGAATCCCGCGAACGGGCTGGCTACATGGGTGTTTTCGTGGTTTTCCCCATGTGTAACGTGTATACGAGCCAGTTTCCCTTAGAAAGTCCTTCACGAAGGCATCCCTCCTCTTAGGCAGATAGCCCTAGTGTGCTTTGCCATAATTAAATACACCACCACACCACTTTTCAATTGTTTTTAAATCTCCTACTACAAAAGGAATGCTGCAGGTTCGCTCCTTACTCCTTATCTAAAACGCATAGTTTTTAGTTTCGACGTCACAGACTAAATTTGCATATTCCCAATCGAACTTTGTAAACATTATATAATTTTCCTTTATAATCTCTTCTATTTCCTTTTGTTAAAAAAACGATTGTCGATTATATGGTTATTTCATACCAAACCCACAATATCCCCTAATTGTTTTTGAGCAGTGAATGTGACTGCAAGACGTTACTCCGCAGTAGAAAAGAAACGGAACCTAAAACTCCATTACAGATCTATGGAGAAAATGTTTTTTCCAAACCTAAGAGTCTCACTTCAAATACTACTTACTATTTCATTATCAAATGCTAGCTATGAACGTTCGTTCAGCAAATTAAAATAAATTTTGACATATTTACAATCAACAGTATGGGACAAGATCCCCTAAGCCATCTAGCATTTTTAAATGTGGAAAGGAAAAAAATTTGAAAGGATCGACTTTGATGAAGTAATGATAAATTTGCTTTTCAAGACTTTGATGAAGTAAATGACAAATTGGTGGAAGATATGCTTTTCAAGAGGGTTTGTAGTTCTGAATCCAGGTGTTGTTCATCCGCAAGGGCAGCAAAGTTTATTCGCGAAGGAACGGCTAGTTGTTCAATACGAGACAAGGTGTCTGCAACAATATTCTGCGAACCCTCAATATAACGGATATCTTTTTGAAAATTGCCCTATGAAGTCTAGGTGTCTCATTTGACGAGGAGAAGCTTTATCCTAACGCTGTTGAAAAGCATAGGTTAAGGGTTTGTGATCTGTTTACGATCATGAAAACGCGTTCCTCTAGCATATGTCAAAAATATTTGACAGCTTCATAAACTCCTAACAATTCGCGATCGTGAGTGCTGTATTTGGTTTGTGCTGGTGAAAGTTTTTTTTTAGAAAAATGTGAAAGTGGTCTCCATAATTCTTGATCTTTCTGTTGTAAAACTGCTCCTATAGCTGTTGTTGATCCACGCTGAGCAACGTCAACGTGGAGAGACATTAGGTTATTTTTGGGAAGTAGAGGATATGAAAAATATGCTACGCCTTCGCCGGGAATCGAACCGCGGACCTCTGGAGTACCGGCCCAGCGTGCAGAACCACTACACCACGAAGGCAGGCTAGGAAAGAGGGAAAAATACCTTATAAACGTAGAGTGATAATAGTTTAGATGCGGAAGGATACTGCAAAATTTGTTGCCGAAATTAAATCATTTTTGCATTTTTGGAACACTTCGCGGGATTCTGCGGTCCAGGTTATGTAACACGTTTATCGTTTTTCTTGCTTCAAACCAAAAAAGAATTTAGAGGAGCTTGTATGGTCGCTGCATAAGGTAAGAAACGTTGATAAAAATTGAGCATAGCAAGATTCTTTAGTCCTTCACTGAAGATGTACGGGTATATCGGGGATAGCGGTGACTCTGTCTGGAAGCGGTCGAACACCATCAGCGGAAGTTTCATGACCAAGAAAGGATACTCTCGGTTGGCCAAAAACGCATTTAGAAGGATTAAGACCGACACCGTACCTTTGAAAACGTTCAAAAAACTGTTCTCAAATGTGGTAGGTGTTCTTGCTCTGAAGAGGAGGCGATTAAGACATCATCAAAATAAGGTACACAAAAGTCGAGGCCGATTAACATCCGATTCATGAAGCGTTGGAATGTTTGAGCAGCATTGCATAAGCCTAAAGTCATGACCCGAAACTCAAATGGTCCAAAAGTCGTAATAACCGCAGTTTTTGGAATATCAGCTGGGTTAACGGGCAATTGGTGATACGCCCGCCCAAGACCAAGGGTTGTAAAAATAGCTCTTCCCTCTGAAACTTGCATACAGTCTTGAATGTGAGAGACTGGGTAACGATCAGGAATTGTAGCTGCATTTAACCGACGATAATGGCCACACGGGCGTCAGTTACCATTTCGTTTCCGAATTAGATAGAGCCCATGAACTTTTTGAAGGACGGCAAATTCCCTGTTCTATCATGTATTGAAATTCTTCTTTGGCAGCTTTAAGCTTGTCCGGAGGTAAGCGTCTTGGTTTAGCTGCAATTGGAGGTTCAGTAGTTTCAATATAATGTAGTACATCGTGCTTGGGTTCGAAAATACCTATAACTGGGTGCGTGTTTGTAGGGAATTCTCTGAGGTGTTGATGCCATGGGGAGTTACCCGAAATCAGTTTAATGCTCAAATCTTGACTAATGCGAATTACTCTCGGAATATATCAAACGGTGATTCTTAAGATCGACAAGCAGAAAATTTTTGAAAAAAGTCAGCGCCACTAATAGGACTTGAAACAGTAGCAATAATGAATGGCCATTGGATGTTGCGGCGCAATTCTAAATCAACAGATATCAGGCGTTCATCAAAAGTTTGAATAGGAGTTCCATTTGCTACATAAAGTTGTAAATTGGTAAGGCGCTTTTGTTCGTGAAAATGTGGTGGAATGACAGAAACATCAGCCCCGGTGTCTACAAGAAACCTCAAGTCCGAATTCTTTTCGATAACGAAAAGGCATGCAAAATTCCGGCCGCTGTCGTTCACAACTTCGAGCAACTTCCCTGGTCGTTATAACGACACGGTGGGCGGCATTTGTTTGCCTTGTTTCCAAATTTGTGGTGGTTAAAAACAAATAGCTCGGGTTATGAATACCTGGCTTTCATAACGTTTCCTTCAGTGGGCTACGACGTGTATTTCGATCACGTGATGTGGAGCGGTTGCGCTGAAAAGTTTCAGCTTGGATGGCTACTAACTGAGCAACCTGTTTGGACAAATCATCAATTTGAGCCTGTAACGCCACAATAGCAGGAGCCTGCACTGCGTTATTTTGACGCTGGAATTGTCCAGCTCGTGAATTTTATCAGCGATTTCGGGAAGATTTTTAAGTGGCTTCGTACTGG